GGAAGCTGCAGCGACGGATGGGATATGTACAGATACAGCTTTCTCTCATGAAGGGTTGCTGAATTGAAGGGTGCATTCAGCGTAAGCACCTTTGGCCTATGCCAATCCTACTCAAGTGTTAGTAATGTCATTTTCCTGGAGAAGAGGCTAACTTGCCTCAGTATTTGAAGGGTTCCCGAGGGCAAATAGGCCACTTTTGAGGTGTTGTGTGACTGGGAGCTCGGCGATGACACTGATGATGAGCTCCTTGTGGAGTCCATCTCCAGGTTGCGGACCGCCCTTAGCATCGGGCGGTGCAAACAGATCATCAAGCTCGTCGTAGTCTTCTATAGTGTCGAATGTGTCCTCGTCCATGACATCGTCCAGGGTGTCATCAATCGATACAGCGCCTAAGCTCATTCGGGATGTCACGCTACCAGGGGTAGAAGCTCGATTCCGAGATTGTGAGAAGCCACCAAAACTTGCACGGTCATGACCCAGTGAGTGCCTACTTCGTTGACTTGCATTGAAGCTGCCACCGATACTGGTGCGGGACGTTGCGAGATCTTGAAAAGCGCTTCTATCGAAGCTTGTTGAGAGTTCAGCCCGCGAAAGCAGCGAGCTCACTCGCCTGGACTCTTTCGGCTGGCGGGTGATATCAGAGTCGGGATTGAGCTGTGAAGCAAGAGCATCGTCGACTGCTTGATCAGAAAGACGCTCCTTGGTGATCTTGAAGGATGGGGGCTGAGTCTTGCTACGTGGAGCACCACCGAAGCTTTCCCTCAATCTGTCAGCTCCACGGATTGCTGGCGTAGTTGCACCTGTTCCTGGTGCAGTGCCGCCATATGAGCTGCGGCGTCGAGACTTGCTTATTGGCAGAGGAATGTGCTGTTTGCGAGAACTTGATATTGATTTTGGCTCAAGATAGGCCGCAGACCAGATGGTAAATACATTCGTCTCGTGGTTTGCTGTGACTACTAGTAGAAGAGGCTTATCATTACCACTGCGATCGAACAGAATCTCGTTCCGCGGAGACACGTAGATGATCTCCTCAGCTTTGTCAATTGCCTCAAGTCGCCGATGACCAGAACCTTGGGAGGTCAAGAAGCTGCTGCGGTCACCACCTGTAACAACGTTGACCACCAGTCCCAGCTCCGACAGCGGGTCTGTGAAGGAATATAACCTGGGTATCGACTCTGGATTTAGAGGCGCGATAGGGTTGATCAAATCATCAAGAAACGTGTTTGCACCCGACAGGCGAGATTTACCAGGTCGCGATGCGCCCATTGAAGAGCCATGCCGCCGGTGGGGTTTATGGAAGCTCTGTGAAAAGGAGAAGTGTTGTGAGAGGAACGACTGGTTGTTCGTGAGGAAGGAATTCTGTGGAGCCGACGGCAACTGCGGACTGGTGGGCACAGGGTGTAAAGGAGCAAGCTTCCTCTGTAGCACAACACCCCTTGCTGCAGGAAATGCCTTGTCCACCTCGAAGGGGAGATTTACGATGTGTGTGGTGCCAGAGAGAAAGAAGACGTGTGCTTGCGACTTCAAGAAGACGACGAGAGCGCGCGATAGCTTCTCCACCGTAGGCGTTGCGGGACTGACTGGCGCAGTAGGATCGGTAGCAGGCTGGGTCCCTTGGGTCAAGAAGCTCTTTGCAGGGTCGGCAGAATGATGGTCTGGCGAGTTGTCGGTAGAGTCGTGGGTGCCATGGAAGGGCTCGTCAACCAAGAACCATGTCAAGAGCGCCTGCTTGACCTTCTCTTTCTCAACTTCGAAGTTGAAGGCCTTGCGTATGACGCCGCCTCGCGACCATATCACGTGGTACTCGGTGGTGACAAGCTCGTCGGTGTAGCCATCGGTGCTGTCGTCGGTGTAGGTGTCCCAGACATAGTCGCGGTCGGTACTATCGTCGGTCAGGATGGACTCTTGGACCAGATACTGCAGGGCGGAGGGCTTGTGGACCCCGATTGAGCGAAGGGAGGCCATGCGAAAGGTTGGCCAGCAACATGAGGGAGGTTTGGGTGGCGTGTGTGCGTCGGGGTGAGAAAGGCGGTTTGTTTGCGCGGGGCGCGCAATCTGAGGTGACGCGCTGCGGTCGAGCGCGACTTCCCTAGGGAAATGTTGACAAACTCCGCAGCACCTCCGAGCTTCCTTCACCCTCACACATCACGTCGCGCCACTCATACACCTCCCATACTGTCAATACAACAGTTGGAGACCTTTCAGACGGTCCGAATATAGTTGCGCTTCAAGCAGAAGTCGCCTCCTTCGCCCCTTCCTCGTTACATAGGCGGTAGCTACGCTCACCACCCTCGAGCTGCAAGCATGGAGCCCATTGTCACGACGCAAGGGAAGCTGACTCAGCTAAGGTACATTCTCCCCACGCTGCGCGTTACGCGACTGCTGACATAGCATCTTGCAGGTACGAGCTTCCGCATCGCGTACACGATTCCACCGTCTACCCCGTCAAAGCCCCCAATGGCTCGACTATCGTACTGTATGGACACGAGACAGGTGTGGGCATTCTATGGAGAGGCGGACGGCCTTTGAAGAGGACTGCCCCGCCTCCCAAGCAGCCGGCGAAGCCAGCAAAAGTCAATGGAACAAGCAAGGACGCCATCATGATCATCGACTCGGACGACGACGAGCCCGCCAAAGCTGCTGCAGAGCCGCCTCTCAAGGCAGAGTTCGAAGATGAAGAAGAAGAGCTCGACCCAGATCAGCCGTATGCCTCGATCGTTCAGCAGCTGTCTCTGTCGCTCAGCACCCAAGTCCTCTACATCGCTGTACCCCAAATACCCAGCGCGTCTACCCTCCGACCTGCAGACACTATTCCTCCCATATTCAGCAAAAACATCGTCTTCACTATCGCATGCGCCGACTCGACCATCCGTGTCATCACATTGCCGCTGAGCCCTCCTCCACATGTCGCAAAAGACAAGCTACGCAGCGCGAAGCCACAATTCGGCGAGAACGTTGTCAAGGTCCACGGTCACCAGAGCATTCCGATGGGTGTTACTATGACTTGGACCGCAAGGGGAGAACCAAGCTCTGCAGAAGATGGGGACGACGACGTGGATATGGATGAAGAGGAAGAAGACACAGCGGATTCTAGGCGCAAACCCCAATCGCGCGCCGACGGAGGCTTCGACATACTTGTGGCATCTCACTCCGCCGAGCTGGGAGGTTTGCTCAAGCTGTTCCGTTTTGAACTGTCGGAGACGGCACTACAGGTGTCCCATCCTGTCGCGCCTTACAAGACGCTGGCTCTCAGCAAGCCTGCCTCTCGTATCGCCTTCAACACCGCCCAATACCCGAAGCCTCGCCATTCGCAACTACTGGTTGCGGACTCAGCAGGTACTACGCGCATCTACGATCCTTTTACATTACCAATCCGTAAACGACGAGGAAGCGGTAGTCGCGCGGAGCCTGGAGCCTTCATTGGAACCTTCAGGTCATCCTTCGAGAGCGTCAAGAACGTTGCGCTAACCCCTGCTGTTCTCCCATCGCGTAAAGCTATCATCGACGCAGCCTGGGCTTCCGATGGCCGTCATATAGTAGCTCTCCTTGCAGATGGCGAGTGGGGTGTCTGGGATGTCGATCGTTCTGGTCCAAGTCCTCCAGCAGATCCATCAGCATTCTCTCTTCGTGGATACGTTGGTACAGCCGAAAAGGAAGGAACCTCTGGCGGTGCATCGAGTCCGAAGCGTGGAAGCCGCAACTCACTGGCACCAATGACACCAAATACACGTAAGCGGAAAGAGGAAACATTGTTCCAGGGCAGCGCATCAAGTTCGACAGTAGCAACCAGAGGCGGCGTTTCCGTCGCGAGCATCACATCGAATAACGGAGCATCAGCAGAGGACTCGGTTCTCATTTGGTACGGATCCGAGATTCACAGGATAGCAGATCTGATCAAATTCTGGACTCGCACTGCTTCCGCCAGTAGCGGAGGGTCCTTGCCGGGCCCCGGTCTCCAACTCCAGGATGTCGTACTTTGCGGAGAATCCATCACCTCCGTCTCACAGTTCGATACCACAGCCCAAGCATCGCGCATGGCTGTTGCAAGAGATATCCTCATCTCAGCGGAGCACCGTCTCATCATCACCGCCAGCACAAGCCAGCCTCTCGGACGCGATCTAAACGCCATGTTTGCCCGCGAGAAAGTGGAAGACGAGACATCGACCCGAACAGACCAGGCTCTCCTCACTCGTGGCGAGCTTGATCTCGGTGGCATGGACAGGATGCTCGAGAGTATGGAAGGCAGCGGAACCAGTGCAGCCATCTCCAAGAACTTGACCATGGGCGGGCCTCGGAAAGTCCTCTTCGCATCGTCGGCAGCTTGATCACAAACGAAAGTGCCCAGACCGATTCACCCCTGGAATAAAGGAAAGTGCTGAGAACGCACAGAAAGCCGGTACTTGATTACGATATCCCCAAATCATCATCCTTGTTGTTGAAGCCGCCACGCCAGCGGTAAGCAGTTTCCAGTGCTCCCTAACCTCTCCTATCTCTCTATCTCTCTACATCCTCTCCTCCGTCTCCCCAAACTAAGCCCAGACCCAAAACATCCTTTCGCGGCCTAAGGTGGAGCTCAGCGACCAGACCCATTCCTGCTGCTCAGTATAGCCTAGCGATACATCAACTACGGTGCCGAACTCATAGTCGCCGACAATCGTCCCTTTTACCCCTAGCACCCTTCGCGGGCGAACGGTTCCCGTAATGTAAAAGGTGTCTTTTGTCTGGATAGCTGTGGGCGGTACGTGCACAATTTCTTCCTCTCTTTTACTCTGAGCTGCTTGTATACCTAGCCGGTCCTTAGGGATGTCGGGTGAGGACGGTATGCGATTCTGTGGTGACGAGGCGCGTCGGTGCATGATGTGCGTATCTGTTACGGATGCGTGTGGTGTAGTGCCTGCGTGTGGGGATGGGTGTGCGACATCTCTTGACTTCGTGAATATTGTGATGAGTGCACTGATACTTAACGAAACAAGTGTATGCAGAATAACCAAAAATATTATCATGTCGTCAGTGACCTAGAACGCCATTGCTAAATAAAATCGATACAACGATGCAGACCTAATCATTCTCAGACAAGAAAGACGTGACGGCAGGCTTTCATGACCACGACTATACTAAGCATCGTCCACTACTCTGCCAACAAATCCTTCCAGCCCAGCCATACCCTTAGCTCCCCTCTCATTACCTCCGAGAAGTCCTGGCCCGCCACCAGGCATGACCAATACTTTAGCACCCATCTCCACAAACTCGCGCGAGGCGATGAACTGGAAGGTCACGATGACCGCTGGCGGCGCACCCTCGGTCGCTGAGTTCTCCACCTCATCGTCAAAGCCGAACCCGAAAGCATCATCGTCGTCTCCGTTAGTGCCCAGCGCAGAGGCTTCGGTACGTTCAGCAGCAACGGAAAGCACTTTGGATGAAGCTCTCACGCTAGCAATGTAGACAACGACTGCGCTACCGACACCGACATCCTTGACGCCTTCTGCTTGCCCCTCTTCGAATCGCACTGTGATTACTTTGTGCGCTTTAGGCTCACGAGCCGACAGTACCATGCCTTTGCGTATCCTGTTGATCGATGGACTGACAATCGGTGTATCAACGGGTGCGATGCCCATGGTACCAACTTGGCCTGTATGCAACGTCCGCACGGGTAGACGCAGATTGCGTAAAGAGGTAATGCGAACACGTCGCCACTCACTGTGTCGGTCGCGCAGTGAAGAATTCTTCGATTTCGTGCTCAGTGCACCGGGAAATGACCTCGATTGCGGTATAGAGGGCTTGCGGTTTGGTATCGCGCTACCGCTGTCGCTGTCATCAGAGCTGACATCTACTGGGTAGGGTCCTAGAAGTAGCTCATCGCCAACAGCGAGAGACCCGTAGCGGAGATAGCCCCCAATGATCGCTGATCGATCATTCGATGTATTTGTGCGGACGCTATAGACGTCTTCGATGTAGAAGAGTGGCGAAGTTGATACATCTGCTGATGGGTTCGTTTCCGCGGGCATGGGCAGGCGTCGAAGGAATGCATGAAGGTTCCGAATTCCTGTTCCTTTGACCGCACTTGTCAATATTACCGGCACTGGCGCAAGTGGTGAGTCTGCATGAGGACTTAGAGCCTCGTCCGTCTTTTCAAGATCGACTCCCTCAATTGTGTGTAGATCGGCTTCTAGCACAGATGTAGATGGATCGGGAACCAGGAAAGGCCTCCTCTGGTGGGCTTTCAAGACTGTAAACAACTTGCGCAAGGTGGCTCTCAAGCCTGTATTAGCCAAATCGAATTTCGTGATGGCAATTACAAGCGGCAATTCCAGGGCGAGGCATAATTGAAGGTGTGCACGAGACAGATCCAGATCTGCTGCTGCTGGGCCGAGTATTTCTTCAGCTGAAGGTGATGCTCCGAGCTTGCCAGAAGACTCATTGGTGTTGTCAGCTGGAATGCACAGAAGTGTCCAATGTGGTTGCCTGGTGGGCAGGTTAGCGAAGTCCACCACATGTATTCGACAAGGGACGGTTGGGAATAAAGGACTCCGTGTGAGTAAATGGAAAGGTGGAAAGCTCTACGACATGCAGTGATCACTTACCAGCCAACAATCCCGCGGACGGTGGTGCGTCTAAACCGAGGATGCCCAGCCGAGTCAGAAAGGAACACGAGTCGGCCGTTCTTCGCTGACTCCACGGCCGCATGAATGTCGATCCATGAATCAATATCTTCAGAGCCATAACTAGTCACCTGTGAGTGGCCTCCTACATCGCGATACCCTATCAATTCTTGAGTGACAGAGCTGGTCATCCCCGATGCAATCTCGTGTCTGTGTTTCAGAAGACTCAAGCGACTCTTTCCTCGACCATTGTCCAACGTGGCGGTAGAAAGCGTGCCCAGTAGGCTAGATTTACCGGACATGGTGGCACCAGTTACGGATACACGCATCTGCTCGGTGACTCTCGGTGACTCGCTAGCCAGCGCCGCCACGTTGCTAGCACCGGCGTCAGACGGCACGTCGGATGCATCCTGCTGATTTCTCTTCGTATGATCGACTAAGTGCTGTTCTGGACGGACCAGAGCTTCGGCAACTAGTAGTTGCGATTTCACCACCCTTTGTTGTACGGTGCCAAAATCCTCTATCCACTCGCAGTCGCCTACAGGAACCCTGCGCATCACCTCGACCCCACAGCCTAGACTTGCAGCCATGGCGCGTAAGTTGTTCAAGCTTTCTTCCATTTCATCCTCTGCCAGACCAACAATAGTTCCGTCGTCCGCGACTCCGATCTCGTAGAGCGCACCACTACTTTCCTCTAATCCCGGCAGCAGACGTTGAGGCATCTCGGGGGCTGATAGACGTGTATCGTCGGGAAAGTGAGGTATGACGGGTGCCATGGATGATGACATGTGGTTTGGGCATGACTGCTGTAGGCGCCACAGCAACTGCGTAGTCAGCTGCTCCAGACGATGCTGCTTTGACTGTGTAGATGCCAGTGGTGGGGGAGTGCTGGCCAGGACGCCAGACTCTGATACGCTGCGGCCCGCTGGCATAGGTATGTCTGGTCGACGCATAGACCCAGATATATGGCGTGCGGTACTGGAACGGGTGAATGACCGCCGTCGCCTGAGCAGCAGATGCAGCTTGTACTCCGTAGGCCCATCCTGGGGTTCTGCCTCCAACCTTGTGATATGCGTATAATCTATATCGGTGGGAAGGGATGTTGCATTCACGCTCGTCTCGTCCTTAAGACCACCGAGAGTGGAAGGAATTCGTCGGGAGTTCGTGGCTGGAACCGGGGACTGCGCAACGTTGCCGATGGGTGTGATGGCCCACGGCGACGAAACGCGCGGAGGATCGGGGTCGAAGGTGAAAATGGAGGCCATGTTGCGTAGTGGAGTTTATGTGCCTTCGTGATACTATTCCTTGCGGGAAGGCGCGATCGGGGTAGTGGCAGGCTGGTCAAGTTGCGTATTACCGCGCTGCACTGGTGCGTAAGCGTGGTATCGATCGTGAGTTGGTGTGTAAGAAGTGCGTCCGAAATAATTGCGATAATAAAGGAAGCATCGTGACGGGTGTGTAGGGCAAACGATGAGTGGAACTTCGTCAAGCAGTGACTAGAGGCAACTCGTCGACGAGTTGCGTGAGGGTGCCAAGCTGGCGTTCAGAAATTAGAGAGAGACATGAGTGTTGGCAGTTCTAGGGATGGTGATTCTCTGAGTGACGGGAATGCTGCGGTGACATGAGATGGTCGTCGGCGGTTGGAAGTATGGAGGTCGCGGCCGCCGTGTTAGTCATTGGTCCTAGCTTTGCGGGGAGTCACCGTTCTGCGGAGCGGCCCTCATCCATCGCTCTCAGCCTCAACACGGATCGCCGCAATAGCAGACGCCCTTTTTCCTGGTGAGTTGTACAAATCGTATCCGTACTGGACTTGCAATAATTCGATATCATTGTCGGCTCAAGTCACAGTACTCACCGGTTGGGCACCAATACATTGGTTAGCCAACAGCATTAGAAACATCATGTATACGAGAGAATGCAAAATCATCTTGCTGTACAATAGTCTGTTAGGTGAATATCCATGCCATCGTTCAGCAGAACAAAGTAGATGCGAATTTGCTAGTCACGTCTCCAGTCTCGATGAGACCTAACAACTCTTGGTTTATATCTGCATTGCGCGTTGGTTATGAAGGATGAGCTTCGTTTGTCTCTGCAGTTCTATCAGTTGCATTTCAAGAACGTGGTCTGGGATTATGTGACATCATAACATGCACTGCCCAGGTGGCCTTGTTGCTGACTGATTACGGCACGGCACGCGTATTCGTATCTGAACGCCAGGCATCGACGGGCTGAGGGCGGCGATCGGGTTCAGACACAAGAAGGGCGTAATGTTGGCGAAGGCTAGGTACCCAATAATCTTACCTACATGTGAGTATGGCTGTAGCAGTGACCGATCCAGCGCATTGCCTACCAAACTAAGAAGGCGTTACGAGATTAAAGATAATGCTGCAGTCACCAGACAATGTAACGCTCTAGCGACTTCGAATCGAAGCACAAAAGGCACATGCCGACCAAACCCCAGTGCACTACGGCATCAGAACATGTCGGCGCAGGGTTCCGCTAAAGCTCAGCCGGCGGTTGAGGCTGAAATGCTACGAAACAGACACCTAAACGTATATGGGACGACGTTATGCCCGTATGACAGGCTCGCATCCACCACCATGAAAGGACTGCTCGTGACCCCTGTTACGGCTGTTGGCCGCCATGTGCGGTTAATCTATTCCCACGCATATGCCGCCGCCTCATTGAAACCGTCCTCCCATTTGGTAGACGGGTCTGACTTTAGCCGGCTTTCTCGAAGGTGACACTGCAAGTTTCCCGCAGTAGTGGACACGCGAGCGCTACGAGCCAAACCATTGCCCTGGAGCCCCCCGTGTGTAACCTTGACCATGCACGTCAGCCTTGCACATGCGAGAACCACATGGTTCGAAACTCCGGCTGTTATCTCTGCGACGGCTCACCACGCGAAGGGCATGCGCGTCAGCTGTTCGTGTTTGAGTGCTGCTGGGCATGGCATTCTGATGCTCTTTCTTCGTGTGTGACTTGGGTATGCCTCACTTCTGGCAAGGGCAGCCCGCCTAAATGCTCATCGCCTGCGTCGCGGTGGTCTAGAGACGCGAGCGCGAGACCAGGTCGGATTCGGGTACGTTGCCGGGTCACTTGCGCGTCTCGATCACATCGTGGAGACACTCACAGTGCGTGAAATTCTCCACGGAAGATTTCTGGATGCACACATGGGCCACAATTTCGTCAAGATCGAACGATACGTACGCAGGTGAGGTGTCTATCATTTCTTGGCCACACTGTGCTGCGTTCATCGATTCATGCAAGTGATCTAGAAGGTAGTTTTGCTGTGGGGTGGGGCGGTGTTATGGTCGCCTGAGGAAACATACGATCAGACGTTTTGAGATAGGCAAAAGCGGACAAGGGAGGGCTGACGCCCGTCACTGTGCCACCGGCACTGATGTCCTAGGTTGGCAAACACTCCGGGCATCAACGTCCTAGAGGCAGTTTTGCATCGTTGAGGCTCCGTTTAACAAATTGGCGAGCGGTCCGATAACTCAATCGTTCCAGCCGCGGGCAACACAGACAGCGGAGTGAAGTGATTGAAGCCGCGGCGTTATTTCAAGTCAGCCCGTTCGCCCTAGCGGGTCCTGTATGCCGGATCGTCCATTGCATTGCCTTGTAGCTAGCCGCCTGTGGGATGCTGAGATCTGAGCCGAACACAACGGTTTTCACGTGATGCCGAACGAAAGTCCATTATCAACTTTGTGTTCCCCTTGTCTCATCCTTGCTAAGTCCACTGAGGGATCAAGTGACTGTCATCCTTCCCGCGCAGCCGCGCCCCGCCGGATCATCCTTGCGATTCTCCAAGCTCAATCCATACGTCAGCAAGATGCGTGTCGGGCGCGCGCTTGGCTGTGGGGGCGAAGCAAGATGGACTGTCGAGGACCCTTTCACGTCATTGTTTCCCGGTGCTTGAATTGAACCGAAATCCCGCGTGCTTAGGGACAATCCCTCTCCAAAGCGGTAAGGAGCCAATGAGCAAGGGGTGTGGTTCCGGCGACTCGGTTCCGACTATACGCTAAGTCTGCCGGGTTTGCAAGGCCAAGCGACAGAGACCTGACCTTGCAAATCGGATTTGGGTCACAAGTCTGTCCTAGAGTCGGATGCGTATCATTATGTTGTGTGTCAGTGCGGGTCCCGCGCCGCAAAGACAGGGCGATACATGAATAATGATCTCTATGCTCATTTTCCTGATCAGTAATACAGCGTTAGACGCGTTTCTAAGCTGCAGTGGCTGTCTTGGCAGCATGCAGGTTGAAGCTTCAATCACACACACTTTGCGCGAGCTTGCCTACCTCGACCAGTAAGCCACCGAACGTGTGTTTGATTGCATATTGTACGTTAGAGCCGGAAATATCCACGTCACCGGTGTATCCCAGAATGGCATATATGCATACGTACGTATGTAAACCGGTGCTGAAAGCCCATTTACTCGGTTGTCGGTTTCCGAAACAAGGGACCATTCGCATGGCGGATTATTGTTCCGCTGCCCAGTGATGTCAACATGGAGATGAGGAGCGAATGGCCACCAATCTCGTAGCCGCTGTTGTACCGATGACATGGTTCCTATGAGTACATACAATTGCCCGGACCACAGTCGTCCACTTGAAAACCATTGTCAAATAGTGCGCTGCGCGTTAGTGGCGCCTCTCGGTAGCTTCGGTTCGTTGTTGGTCCTTCTCCACAGCGGTGGGTGCTTTTTACAAGGCTTTTCCCGCACTAAGTCGTGGCGACAACGGCCCGCTAGACTGATCGTTACTCAAAGTCGAGAAAAGCCGTGCGAGGTCACGAACAGGCGAGCCAGGCTGACGACTGCCTAATGCATGTGAAACCGGCTCGTGGTAATTGGTGCGCATCGAGGAGGCATTGAATCGAATTCGGGTAGAGCATCAGTCATGGACATATGGTTCTGCTGTGAAATCAATTACAAGTCATGATTAAGATTACAGTGCTGCAAACCTACTGGAACTACCATACGATCTGATACTAAAAGCTGAATCGTAGAGGCGGTCGGTATAATTCCCTTCTCAGTCTAAGGTACGAGTTTTCGCAAGTTTCGCGCGGCATTGCCGAAGCATGCCGTGCGGGACAGCGTCGGCCATCGTGCTCTGTTCGCTCTTGGACCCTGATAGGGAAGAAGTGCTGACCGATGATTTTGCGTGACCCGTGTGGTCGGATACATCGCAGGGAAGAGTACAGGGGCACCCTCAACCAGCAGGAACTCCATGTTCCTGCTTTCCTCATTCCTCCAAATCCTCCCGCGATCCCTCGAACGGGTCGGTCAACGCCCTCTTTCATAATCGAGTGTCATTGGCACGATGGAGAAGGAGTCCGACGTTGGATGTTAGGAAATAACATACCCGCTCCTTCAGATAACGAAATTCGGTTGAAACGGTGTTCAGAAAACCATATTGTAGCGATTTGGTCCAGTATAAGAAGAAAAGGTAAACTTTACGACCCTGAATCTATATGTTCGTAGCATCATAAAAAACAGGCGCTTGTTTGCAAGCAATATCTATAAAAACCGATGGCTTTTGACTGCTTCGCTGGAAGCCTGGTGCTCAAACACGCGCGTCACAAAACGTGACGGAGACGGGACTGTGCGGAGGCCTAAAGCGTACGAGACAAGTCGTAGCTACGACTTCTACAGTGTAAGGATGCGCCCTTTGGAAGCTTCGAGTGTCCTGCGGGTCGAATCCCAATTTGGGAAGCGGCACACAATGGTATGGTCGCCAACTGGCATGCTTCTACCTGGGCGTGCCGATGCTGCATGATATCGAGGCGAAGCCTAATGTCCTTGGCCAGGCTGTGACATTTTGTGCTTGGGTATTACACCTAGGTCAAGCTGCACCTTCTTTTGCTGTCCTTGAACTGGATAGTTCTAGATTGATCGAGCGATGAGATGCAGGATTCATCTACCCACTCGTTTCAGACGCTCTTCTTGGCTTGCACTTATCGTGGGCCATGTGTCCGTTTCTTGCAGTAGTCCGCGTGAATTCGGCTCCACACCTAGGGCATGAGCTTTTCGAGGCGGTCCCTGACTTCTCTCGTTGATGTCGTAAAAGGTTACTGAACGTAGAGAACTGCCGTCCATTACACCCGTGCTCCCAGCATTGGGGCTTCGGTCTAGAATTCACAACACGTGGCTGCATTGCACTGCCTTGCGTGCTTGGCGACGAAGACAGTGGAGGTACTGGACCACCAGGCGGCGGTCCACTCTGCGAAGACTCGTACGATGGATACGCGGCAGGTGTCGTAGAAGTTGGAGGGTACATAGTGGGCAGTGGATGAAATTCGCTAGTACCGTAAGTAGTTGGAGGGTACGGCTGTGGACTTTCTGCAATCAGTGGAAAGCTTCGCTAGGCGCTTGATTTGACTTACGGCGAGTAAGAATTGCTTCCCATCGACTGGCTGGGAACACTATTGTGCGGGGCCGAATATGAGTAGGAATGGACCGTAGAAGACATCGGAGATGCATGCCCTCGCATCGAATCAACAGGCTGGTGCTGCTGGTAGGGGCTACGCGGAAGAGAGGGATGCTGAGGCTGATAAGGCGGTAGAATGGTGTGTTGATCGGATCTTCTTTGCTGGCTTTCATTTGGCAGCGGACTCGAAGCATAAGACGAGCTGTATGGATTTGAGGCTGACGATCTTGGTTCTGCGTAAGATTGCAGAGGTGGGTAGCCCGACGAGTAAGACGTCTGTGGAGAGCCGTAGTGGCCCATTCCGTACTGCGAAGATGGCATCATGAAGCCCAAGGTGCTATCGATATCAGAACATGCTCAATTCTTCAGGGCTCATAGAGTAATATACCTCATATCTCGCAGTTCTAAGAACGAATCGTCCGACTGCCCGACGTCGACCGGGAGTTGTAGCTCGGGGTCGTGGCTACCAGAAACAGACGTTAATGGCGATGGGAAAAAGGTCGGCGCTCGGCTGGGCTGGCTGGGCGGAGTGCGCAGCGTCTGTGAGCCAACGCTATGCGCAGGTACTGAGTTTGAGTCTTGGAGTGACTCGTGGTGTGCAGGATATGTTATTTGCGCAAGAGACGAGTCGGGAGACCTGTCTTGATCAGAGGTCAATAAATGGAAGGTGCTGTCAGGTGGAATGTCTTCGAGAACGTGTGAAGTATTCCAAGCTAGCGAAAGTGGGTGCGACCCGGGCGTCTGATAATCAATGGGATTGTGGCGGGGCGTTTGCAAGTTTGCGGCACGGTGGGAGCGAGCTCCTCTTATTTGTGGAATTTCTGGTGGCTGAACAGATAGGTTTTGGTCGGCACGGTCCTTAAGTCTTCGTGAGATGGTCGTCGTCTTGGGTTGATGTGGTTTGGGAGACCGATGGGTCATGTTCAATAATGGAAAGGCAACATTTGATGCGGAAGGTACCAGTGGGGTTGACGTACGTTTGCATTCCTGAGTACGGCCCGCCGGGAGGGATTATACCAGCCTTATGGCAACTTGACTGCGAGGCAGAATCATGTATCCGGCCTTGACATTTGATGGTCTGCGCCCTACATGGGGGAAGCTGGACGCACAGGAACAGAGCATCTGAGCTCCATGGTCCAACAGCAACAGAGCCGGCTTTGCGGCTGCGGACTGGTTGGAGCCTCGAAGGATTGGTATCCTGGTATTGAACCCAAGCCCTCCGACCGTTGACTAGCCACAGGACGTGCACCCGCGATGGGTGCCTGGCAGGTCTGGGCCGGGGTATCCACGCACCAGCGAGAATTGCGCGACTCTCTAGGATGGATGAAAGCAGGTATGCCTGCTGGTCTGCCGACGACGTCTTCGCCGTAAACCCCCACCACTGGTCCGAAAGCCAGCCCCTGTCAATTCGAGAGTGATGCCATCGCCGCAAGTAGCGTTGGCGGAGCCACGAATACTGGCGTGGATGGAAGCCTCATTCACCAAGCAGAGGGTTGGTGGCGCTCATGATCCCGCGCCTGTGACGAGGAGCCATACCGCGTTAAGTATGGTCTTAGGAATGACCTGTCAGATCCCTCTATGTTAGCCGCGGGTGGGCCTCAATAATGCACGATAGACAGAATGTGGGTGTTGTCTGGTAACATGCAATCGAAAAAGGAGTGGCGTAAGCCCAGCTTCATCTCGAATATTACTGGCACTGCCACGAGAGCCACGAGAATATGCTGCTCATCAACTCAAATCGCGTGTCATGCTCTGCCGATGCACAGCTCATTGTGCGGTTCTAAATTTGGCTCGCTGCAGAGTCGTCCGAGCACGTGCTGGGCAATGCCTAAGCGGCCCGTTGTCTTTCGGAAGCGCTGCCGTTAATGTGTAAGACAAGAACAAGGCGGCACGCCTACAGAGTCGGAACTTCTGGAATCTATCTCGAAGTCTCAGAAGCAGTTGTGTGGCTTTCTGTACGCGAGTTCGAAGGAAGGTGATTGAAACCGAGGTGGGATGCTTAGGTGTCCGCGCGTTTCGGAGGGGCACGCGGTGCCGCCGTTCACGATAGACATCGCGGGCCCACTTTAAAGAGAAGCTCGTCTCTTGATGTAGTTGTGGAGACTGGAGTTCGGCTCCTCAGAACTGTGGCCAAAGCAATGAATGCGAGCACAGCTACTGTCTGAAGAAAGTCGTAGCCGCTACTACGAGTGCCAAGGTTTCGTTGATTGGCCGCAGTCATGGGTCGCTTTTCCAATTGCAACTCTACGCTTCCCTCCTGAACAGCCTCTCATTAAAAAGACAAATCACATGCCGCCCGTTCTCGAACTCGAAGCGGGTCAATTTTGCGTGGATCCACTGCGTCGGGGTCGACTTAAGCCGACTTCGTCCATCCGCGACCGCGCAGAAGATGCCTGCCGGCGCCGGCAGCGACCTTGGAACTGTTCGGCTTCATCCTAGCTCTGGCATCCATGCATGCCCATCACCTAATTTGAGCGCTCGTACCACCGGGGACACTGGCCTCAATACACGAGATAGCCGCTTATGGATGAAGACATTGCTGTTACCCACAGCCGCACGCTACCCGCCGCTATCTTCGTTGTTGTTCGGCGTTAGCATAACGGCGACCTAAGTCCTAACGCCCCGCCACTTAAGGCTCAGCCCCGGATGCAACTATATAAACATATGACTTCTGGCCGCTGGGACGCCTAACGATCAGATGGAACGATGTACTTGCCGTGGCACGGGGCGAATCTTGGAAGTTCATGCGAAACCAGGATGATCTAGGATCGCCCTGGCCGGGCGCAGGGGCTATAGTCTCCGCACTACCGTTATCGCACTACAATCACAGTTGTCACATTCCTCATACGATACCTCCTACACCTAACGGGTCACACTATTTTCGACCTTGGAGATCATAGCTTCTCTGCCATGGATCATGGATACTATAGTGACCCAGATGAGCTTCTTTAAGCGAGGTGGGTTCTGCGCAGGTTCGCAGCACCAGTGACAAGTAACTTGTTCATCCATACGTCTACAAGCGGGGAGGGCCCGTCAGCGCTCTGAGTTGCTGGCGTAGAAGATCCTACGTGCTCAGATCAATGAGTAGCGACAACGCCAGGCGGCTAGTTTTACGAACCCCCTAACATGCCAGCTGTATGGGCACCTACACAGATGTGTGAAACGTCCCTTTCACCATCAGTCAATATAGGCTTAACGACGAACAGCTGTCCTCCAGAGACTTCACCCAATTCCCGGCATTAGTCTATATTAGAACTCGCTTTCGCAAATGAGTACGTCAAATCACAACCTTCTTAGGCCCACCGCACTGCGCTTCACTTCGGATTCTCGGAAGCGCCCAACCGCCCCAGACCCCCAGACCCTCAGGATAGGTAAACGGTTTACCTTACCGTCAAGCAAAAGCCCAGGCAGGTTTTGCGAACCAATGAATGCACGTGGACTACAACGACCAGTGTTTGCGACATGAGCGCCGGGCCCGCAGGTACCCATGCGGGAGGAAGTCAAGGGTGACGATACATCGGTTATATCAGGGCCCTAAGGATTAACAAGTGTGTGCCGCAGAACACGCCTAAGCAGGCGTAAGTGTTATGGGAAATCTTTGTGGCGATCACCAACGCAACGTCACAGATGGGGTGGGAGGGGCTATTGCTAAACTGGTTCCCATCGAGAATACGCGAGTTCACTGCTGACTCGTTGTAAATGCGCTCTTCATCAACGGCAGAGATGACCGCGATTTCGTACATCCAAGCTCTTGTCATCAGCCCAGTATGACGTGTTCATGCCTTGATGACAAACTGTCGGAAACTTCTGTCAGACAATTTGCTTCCATCTTGAACGAACAAAGTCCCGTCTACTCGACCAGTGGCACCACTAGGACTTTTTGACGATATACTGCTCCTAAGCAAAAGATACTCTGGAAAGAAAACTAACCGAAATTAGTGCCTCAGCAGATTTCACAACGTCGTGCAATAGCCCAGTACGCCACTCGCAACAAGAAAGACGGAGTTTGGGTACACACACACACTTCAACGTCAACTTATCGATCGATGCTTAGACAATGTCAAGAAAACTGTCCATCAGTACAGATCTGAGGGCACGGCATTATCCGCGGAGATCGAAACGCATCAGTCTGAAAGTTGAACCCGGTAGCAGAATTGTAGATCCTACTACCAGCCATGTCATATCAACGCGTAGCCCACTCTGATGACACATAACATCTGCTGGCTGACCAAGAAGAGAATGCTGCTCCCAATATACGCAATCCAAGTCCTGCGCGAGAAGACCGCTTAGGCTCGAGCGCGAAAACCAGAAGAAGAAGCGAATGCTGCTGCTTTGTCGCTCGCAGATCCGTAGAGAAGATGGGAGGCGGAAGGTACTACCTCCCGTTTCATGTTCGTCGCTGCCAAACGGAGAGAACTCAGATCATATCTCCATGTTACCGCTCAGACGGGAAAGAACCACCCAGGTAAGCAGACAAAGACCTTGAGTGCGACGACTGCCTCGGATTTCATGCTATGTCATATTGAATGATCGGTTTGCATTGTTACTCGCACAAGATATTCCCGACGTTAAACCAACCAATATACTACTGTGCATCAGGGATAGCATCCAGCGCCCTTTTGAACGTCTCCACCAACTTGCTCGTCTCCTCCAGTCCGACACTAAACCGAATCAAATCCGCTTCAACACCCCATTTCGCACACCAATCCAACTCGCCATAATGCGCCAAAATCACATACGGCGAGCTGAGCGTAAAGTTTGTCCCCAGACTGGGTCCCTTGACGGTATCAAGGTTGTCGAAGAAGGCGATAGCGTCGGCTCTTGTGTGAAAGGTGGCGGAGAGGAGGCCGCCATAGCCCCCGGAGGGGTTGCGGCATTTTTCGTAGAAGGGGCGCGTTGGTGACGTTTTGGGGTAGTTTACTTGTTTGACTAGGGTGGTGTTAGATGGGTGTTGGATTAAGGTGCGTGAGGGGATGTGAGAGTATGAAGAAGGTACTAACCACGGGGATGTCCGCTGAGTACGTCGCAGATGGCTTCGGCGTTGGTACCGATACGATCGATTCTCGAGACAAAGTCACGGCTGTTGCGCTCGAGGAAGATACTGTCTTCAGCCCAGTGGTTATCTTCATAGTCTTCTTCCCATGTGCGCTTGAGGAGGGCATAGTTCTTTGCTTTGGGGTTGAGCACAAGTCTGTGTTCCGTGTTAGTAAGTGTCTTTCGGCAGTGGCCAGGATTGATGCTCACCCTCCACCCATTACATTGCTATCTCCGCTGAATACCTTGGTCAGACTGCTGACCACGACGTCCGCATACTGCAGGACATTAACATTGATGAAATTGCCAATAGTCTCATCTACTACTACGCAGAAATCATATTGGTCGGCTAGTTTGCGTATGCGCTCTAGGTCTGGGGATCTGAGCAACGGGTTCCCAGGGAACTCGGTGAAGAGAGCGACGAATCTTTCACCACCTTCTAATCGTTGCTCAAGGTCGTCCAGCTCTTCTGATGAACCGAAGCCATAGAATTGCGAACCAGGACCGAACTTTTCGGTGATTTTCAGGGTGTCGATGTATGGGAAGCTAACTATATTAGTGGGGTATGGAAGTGCGATTGGCGAAACTTACCCGTAGACGATGGCTCTCTTTGAGCCCTTTGCTCTGAGTAGATTCCGGTGGGCGTTGAAGATGGAGCTCATTCCCGTGGGATATAGATAGACGTCGTCTTCAGAGAAGCCGGCTATCGGCCTTTTCCTCGCTGCGTCATGATGCAGGGTCATCGCTTCTGTCAAGCTAACGTCCGCAGTCAATGACCCTGCAATGCGCCTTCGAATGGCTAACTTTGCATTCTTGGTTTTTGAGAGATCCAAGTTGCGTCCAAATCTCTCCTCGACGAATTGCGTAGGATCTTGGACTTCTCCGTTGCCGTTAGCGAAATTGTCTAAATTGCCCAGATCAATCGAGGTCTGCTTCTGATACCGCCTGGGACCCTTGCACACTCTTGCTGGCTGATTAATTGTGGAGGCTTCTACTAAGATACCCTCCTTGAAGAGCTGGGAGCAGTACTCTGCTCTTCGACTTGAGACGCCATCGCCGGAGTGCTGCCAGAACGCCTTTGCGATGTTGAAGCGATCTTTCGGGAAGAGCACGGCTGATACTCTTGGTGATATGATTTGCAGTTCTTCAGAACGAGCCCTCTCAGCTGCTGGTACGAGATCGAGAATCCGAACTTGTGACGCATCCAGGTCAGGTGCTTGTCGTAGGAAGAATTCTTGACACCTCGATGCGGTGGCGTTTGTAGGGAACAGCATTGCACTCTCCCCCTCTTTGCCATGCTTCTCGACAATTGCAGCCGCAAAGGCTTGTATAATCTTATGTATGAAGAATCTTCTCGTGGTTAGTCTACGTTCGCCATCTGCCTCGCCACACGGTACCTAGGATAGCCAGTCTTCATTTTGCTGATGACCCATTCTTCACCCTCTTCATATCCAACGTTTGCCCGCCATGTCGGCAGTGACACACTAACTGCCTGCCTCTTATCAGCCTATGGTATAGTAGCCAGGAGTGAAGTTGGACGCACGTGCTCGGTTGCTGGTGGCAGACTCTCTCCGACTTCTACGTCGTTCTCCAGGACCATTGGCGACATGTTGCAAGCACGACCGAGGAAAGTGTGGTAAGGCAGGACTAGAGAATAGCGAAGACACCAGTAACGGGGCAAGTAAATGAGATGTAATGGCGCAATGACTCCAATTGCACCATGGCTTATTCCAAAAGCCGATTAGCTCCGACTTCGGCACTTGGGTAGGAAATTTAAGGTTATCGATAATGCACCGTCACTTTCTCCGCGTCGCATTGGCAGGCCGGAACGTCAGCGCATCCACATATGCACCCTCGACTGGGGCATCTGAGCCCGTTCACACTCGCACTGGCCCCACTTTGGCGTTGCTTTCTTCTGTAAGGGTTCAGCCTAGCTCTCGATAGCCAGACACCAGAGCACTGCGAGCACGACCATGGACAATCTCACCCCTTCCGACCTCTTCTCGCCGTCCAAAGCGCGTCAGCAACGCGCACAAGCCCAGGACTGGGCGCACATCGACTCATGGCTGTCATACAAGTATGCTGGGCGTACGGTGCCGACGTTCGAGCGCACCGAGGAAACGCTCAAGGTACTCCGTGAGCTGTCCATGGCAAATGAGCGCGCGGACGAGGAGAGGACAGTCATGGAGCGCCTAGAGAGGGAGGCATTGAAGGAGCTGGACGAGGTATGAGAACTGCAGGTCCGCATCAGCTGCCGCGCACCGAGCACCCGGCTCACAACGGTAGGTCCCCAGAAACGAAGTCGATGAACGCATCCTGTCCGGGCTGAAAGCGAGCCTTACCCCCGAAGGTGAACAAGCGCTCGATGCACTCGCGTCTACAGCCGTAGCTCTCAACCTACCGACCGCCAACCCCGAGAGCATCGCGCATGCTCTCATACAGCACACGATCGCCTCGCAGAACCTCACGAACCAGCTGCAGCACATCCACACGCTGCAAAGCTACCTGGACAAACAGCAAGCCCTCCTTCGAACTCAGCTCCACGAGCTCCAAACGAATCCCGCCTTCGCAACGCCGTCCAACCTCCAGCGCCAGACGACGGAGCAAACGCGTCAGGTTAAGCACCTACGCACCAAGATCCGCGAACACGAAGACAAGCTCTCGTCACTCCAGTCGTCGCAATCGCGAAACATGACGCCGGGGTCCAAGAACGTTGGATCTGCCGAGGCTATAACCGACATGTTGGAGCAGCAGAAGGCTCTGGATGAGCTGCGAGAACGAGTAGAAGGCTTAGAAACGCAAGTCGCAGAGTTTGGTGGCCTGCCTGCTGACAAAGAGGCTGCCAGGAAAGAAGTGGGCAAGCTGGAGGTCAGGCTTGACGAGCTACGGAGGAGACGGGACGAGTTGTTCGAGGGGCTGGTGGGACAGTAGTTGTACAAGACGGCTTTAGAGACTACGCTACCCTTCGAATTCAATCTCATCCTACACGGGCGCATCCGTCAACGGCACATACTGCACACCATACAGCTTCTGCCGCTCAAGACTTCCGTCCTTGTTCTTGTCGATGACATAGATATGCTGCGTCCCGCCTTCTGCGACCGGAACGAACAGCCGGCCCGGAGCTTTCAGCTGATCGGTCAACGCCTCGTGGTGCAAAGCTGCTGCAGCCCCAACATGAATAGCATCGTACGGCGCGCCCTCGGCCCAGCCTTTTCGCCCGTCGCCCGTCACAAACTTGACTTGTCCCGATCCCAACATCTTCCGCCCCTCTTCTGACTTGCCCATATTCGCATTCGCCATGTCGTTCAGTGGCTGGATGTGATCGATGCCAATGACAGTTCCGTTGGGCGCAACGAGATTGGCGAGGACAGCGGTGAGGTAGCCCGAGCCGGAACCGACATCTAGGACTCTGGCTCCGGGCTGGAGATAGTCGAGGAGTGACTCGCACGCTGAAGCGTGCATGTGTGGTGCGGAGATGGTGGCTTTGTGGCCTATAGGCTGAGGACAGTCTTCGTACGGTTTGGCTGGGGCAAAGTGCGCGCGATCAACCTAGCGACTGTTACCATACATGAGGATATTGGCTCATCGAACACTCGCAGCCCTACCCGTAGCATGGCATCTCTGACACGGTCAGACCCGATCAAGTTGTTCTTTACAAGATTGGTAATCAGAGCTTCGTTAGTCTCTCCAGAGCTTCGCCAAGCCATGCTGAAGACTTTACTCTGCGTGGTTACAGTTGGGAGCTTGAAGAAGAGGGAAGGCCCGCGTAGGCGGTTGAGCTTAGTGATGAACGGCACCGTGAAGAGTAGTACTAGGGAAACAGGAGGATTGGAAATGGTTTAGTTAGATAGAGGTATGCTCATATATGTCAAGTAGCAGACAAGCTTGAGACTAACGCGATTATGTGTGTCAAGAGCTCATAATGCATGCAGCGCGACTGCACCGGTGTACATGTGGCAAGCGCGCCCAGTGAGGAGCTCGTGGAGCTGTCAAGGAGGGGTGTGATGTAAGAACGCGCCATACCTAATCCCTGCTTATCGATAAGCATCCGCTCCCAAAAGTCCCAGAGAAATTTCGCGTCACATGCGCTCACACCTTACGAACCACCACCATGGCACCTCCCGCGATTAAACGAAGAAAGCTCGAGCACAGCGACTCGGAGGACGGCAGTGAAGGCAGTTTCGCCGACTTCGACGGCGACAATGGTGGAGTCGCGCTGGACGGCAGCGATGCCGAGGATGCGCTCGATCATAGCGATGCCGAGATGGACAGCGCAGAAGAGGTCCAGGATGACGATGACGAGGACATGAGCGAGGAGGAAGAAAACGACTTCGAAGAAGTAGAGGACGTCCACGAGAGCAGAAAGCAGACGACTGCCGGCAAAGCGACGAGCGCGTCCAAGCCGCCCAAGAGACCTGCGCCGAGCCTGCAGGACGGCGTATACACTGCGGAATCCTTCAAGTCGAACATGTTCAAGCTCCAGCTAGACGAGCTCTTAGATCAGGTCAAGCTGAAGTACGGCAAGAAGGAGGCTCCCGCAGAGAACGCGATGCGCACCCTCAAGACCATCATCGAGCAGATACCTAGCCGCGAGCCGTTGCCAGTATGCGAAGAATGGTTCTGATGGGGTCAACACAAGCTAATCAATCGTAGATTGCTGAAGCCGAGAAAGCGCTCAAGTCAGCCGGTGTCGCTGTGCCGTTCCCCAGTCCTCGCCCTCCCAAAGACGCCCTGTACAAGCTGCAGTACGAACGACCTGCGAGCATCAACGCGACCGGCAGCTACCCACTCAAAACCGCGACTCGACACAACGAAGGCATGTCAATTGATCTGGTTGTGACAATGCCCAAGAGTCTGTTTACAGACAAGGATTACCTGAATCACCGATACTTTTACAAGCGCTCGTACTACCTGGCTTGTCTGGCTGCTGGTATCAAGGCCTCGAAGGAGCATAAGTTTCAACTCTTCTTCGATACTCTGAACGGAAATCAGCTTCAGCCTGTCTTGACCGTGCGACCGAGCGGAAACGGCGATGCGGACGACTTCTCGAGCTCCAAGTGCCAGATCAACATTCTGGTCGCGCTACCAGAGAACACCTTTCCGCCGAACAAACTCCTACCCACCTCGAACTGCGTGCGACCAAAGGGCAGTGACGATGAAGCCTCCACCAAGACCCTCACTCCAACGCCATTCTACAACAACACATTACAATCGGATGCCAACGTCACAGCCTACCTCAAGCTTCTCCACGGCGCCGCCTCGAGAGCTGATGCGTTCAAGGACGCTTGTATACTTGGACGTGTTTGGCTGAAGCAGCGTGGCTTCGGTAGCCAGATTCGCAAGGGAGGTTTCGGAAACTTTGAATGGGCTGCAATCATGGCTATTCTCCTGCAGCCAAATGCAGGTACCGGCGCACAATCTGTCTCTTCTGGATTCAGCAGCTATCAACTGTTCAAATCGACTTTGCAATTCTTGTCTCGAGGCGACCTTACGAAGAAACCGTTCATCTTCCAAGCCACCAACATCACCGTACCCAAGGCGGAGACTGCGCCTGTCGTTTTTGACGGTCCCCGAGGACAAAACGTCCTTTTCAAAATGACCCCATGGTCTTACTCGCGCTTACGGTCCGAGGCGAAAGCCACTGTCGATATGCTGAGTGACTCCGTGTTCGACCACTTCGATGCGGCCTTCATCCTGAAGACCGAGTTGTTGAAGTACCGTTACGATGCTACACTTGAAATACCTCTTGCATCGCTTGGCCTTGACACCGCTGGCGAGGAGTACGACCAACAATTCCACGAAACTTGCAAGAAGATACACAGCAGTCTGACTCGCGCTCTTACTGACCGCATCACGGCTCTGTCGTTTACCATGGCCGAAGAAGAGTCTTGGTCGATATCCTCGCGACGCCCACAGGAGAAGCAAAGCAGAAGCATACTTGTCAACTTCGCTACTGATCCCGCCAACGCCACTCGTACTGTCGACCACGGTCCTTCTGCCGAGAACAAACAGGAAGCTGCCGCATTCAGAAAGTTTTGGGGCGAGAAAGCGGAGCTCAGGCGCTTCAAAGACGGCAGTATTCTTGAGAGTGTCGTCTGGGCTGTCAAGGACGCATCTGTGTCTGTGATTGAACACATCGTACTTTACATCCTTGGCAAGCACGTGGGTAAGAAGGTCGCGGAATCAGTCACGTTTTCGAGCGATTCATTCGGACACCTCATCCCTGCTGGTCGCATGCAGGGACAATCTGGGACCGCGCCATTCTTACCCATCATGAACGCTTTCAGTGCTATGGAGAAGGACATCCGAGATTTGGAAGAGCTTCCGCTTCGACTTCGCCATCTGAGGGCGGCTGACCCACAGCTCCGGTATGCGTCCGTTGATGTTCCAGCTGCAGGTCATGCTCCAGCCTCTGTCGTATTGCAGTTCGAGGGTTCTGGTCGCTGGCCGGACGATCTATGCGCCATACAACGGACCAAGATCGCTTTCCTGCTCAGGCTAGCCGAGCTTCTATCAAAGCTAGAATCTGGCTACGTGGCTCGCGTAGGCATGGAAAACCCATCACAACCAGCCCAGAACCAAGCATTCCTCGATATTACCGTCGCTGCAGGCTTCACATTCCGTATCCGCATATACCACGACCGTGAACCTACGCTGTTCGAGCGCCAGATTAAGGACAAGTCACTGGACGGTCCTTCAAGAGAATCCGCTGCTGCCTCTCTAGCATTGTACAAGCGCGAATTTGTTCAGTCCCCTATGCATTCGCAGGTACTACAGACGTTATGTACCCGTTTCTTGGCCCTCTCGCCAGCCATACGGTTGACGAAGAAATGGTTTGCATCGCACCTTCTGGCTCCGCACTTCTCACCCGAGCTTATCGAGCTTCTCGTCATCCGCACATTCCTGCAGCCACACCCATGGCCTGTACCCACAACTGCAACCACTGGCTTCCTACGGACCCTGTCATGGATAAGCCGATGGGACTGGAGACACGTCCCGTTGATAGTTGATTTCTCGACAACGTTCTCCGCAAATCCCGCAGATCTGGAGGACACCACATCCAAGGGCATGAAGTCTGAAGATCTTGACCGGCTACGGACGCGCTTCGAAGCATGGCGTCGCATAGATCCGGCCATGAACCGCGTTGTGCTCTTTGCTGCAACGAACCTTGACGAAGAGGGCACAACCTGGACAGATAAAGCGAAGCCTGAAAAGGTTGTTGCGGCGCGGTTAACGGCCTTGGCAAAGGCGGCCACACAGGCTGTCCGTGCGGATGAAGATGGTCTGCTGAAGCACGTTAGCAACAACAAAGATGCTGCTAAGGCACAGAACACAGTCTTGCCCGAAGCACTCTTTACGCCCGGCATCTCCGACTTCGACATCACCATAACCATCTCCCCAAAACATACGCTCAAGCCAACCAAACCCCGCAAATCCACACCCCAATTCAAGAATCTCGACCTCCAAAAATCCACATCCAGCTCATCACCCGCCACACCACCGCTCCCGCAGCTCTTCGCACAAGACCTACTAGAAATCTACGGCGACGCTGTGCTCTGGTTCTGGGATCCAGAGACACTAGACAAGATCGTTGGGCTGTGGAACCCAGTTGTCACAGCGCAGAGGAGCTGGAAGGTTAAACCTGGGTGGAACAATGTTCCCGTTGTGAGCAAGAAGGATGATGTTGAGATCAAGGCGAATAAAGAGGGCATTGTGCATGAGATTAAGCGGTTGGGTGGGGAGCTTGTTAAAAGTGTTGAGCTTAAGGCATAGTTTGTTTGAGGTTGAAACATAAATACGAGGAATGTAGAGTGATATCTCGAGGGAGTATCTCCGAGGAAGCAACACCCAGATCAAAGTCTTTTCTTCGATCAAAGCATCACGGCGCACAGTGTACTTTCTCCCACGAACATGTACAGAATGATCTTGCCATGAGCCCCAAAAAGGTGATCCAGATGATACCGAAAACATCTCACTTTCGCAATATTTCGTGAAACTCTTGGCTTAAGCAGGATAACCAGTGGGCTACCAAAAAATTTACGTCAACCGCGTTACCAATTCTTGCGAAATTTGGTGATGCAACCTAAGCAATGAGCGAGAAGCTGAGAAATGTAGAGTCAGCCATCTTGGCATCTCATCATCGAATCATGACCATTCTGCATTGGTGGCCGTCACCCTGGTGTCACTAGCCCAATTAAATACTTCGGGCGGTGTAGCCTCACCAACAATTCATTAACATCGCTTGGCTGGGTCTTGCATCGCAACATTCTGGGACTAGATCGTCTTACATTGCGTAAATTGCGGCTGATGGGTATTACACCTGCGTCACTTTGTTAGGGGCTTGGCTAAAGACGGACTGACAAGTTGTGTCGTACAACTCAAAGTAACGACGCCACAACCTCGTTCTTGAACGTAGAGTAAGTGAGAGCTAATCTGAAGAGTGGTAGGAGGACGACTGAGAAAGAACATCCTGACATCATACGATGTCAAAAAAGGTCAGCACGCAGAGTAGCTGAGGTTCTTCAGACGTCAGGTTACTTTTGGCAGCAGTGTCGGATGTTGCATCGTGACCTAGAGAACCATAGTATTTAAGCTCATAGCCCTTTGAAAGATATCAGTATCATCGCAACAACAAGAGCACAGCAACTTCACCACTCAAACTTGATCCATCACCCTACTTCCAAATTTCACTATGCGTTTCCAACTCCCTTCCCTAACTCCATTCGTCATGGCTGCGATGATGGCCACACCATCCCTCGCAGCAAGTCCTGGCCTTTACCTCTGCCAGAACTGGGGTTTCAATGACAGACCTGACAACTTCTGCTACAAGTACACCGAGCCTTGGGGCAAATGCAGTAAGATACCATTCAGACCCAAATATCTATTGCATATAACTAATTTCTATACGCAGCCACCATCACCGGTCGTTTCTCGGGGGGTGATCGAGGTGTGTCGTCCGCTGGGCCTGACCAGGGGAACTGGTGTACCTTGTATGAGTGAGTAGTTCTACACCACCGAATACGTGCGATTGGTTTGACCTAGGCTGATTATCGAAACAGGAACGAAGGCTGTACGGGAGCAGAGTTGCAGCTTTATTGGCCTGGGTTTTCTGCTCTGTCGCAGGTGGGTTGGAATGATCGTGCTAAGAGCTTCAATTGCGCGGCTTTGTAGAAGCATGGCTCTTAGCTGGTACTAGATTCAACTCTAGTACAGCAGATATGATGATAAAGAGAATGTATGATTCGAGTCAGAGTGGGCTTAGCAGTAGGAGTTTCTGCGCTCTAGCGGAAGATTCGCTGGCATAATCCACATCCGTAGTCCGTTATCAAATGGATGACACTATCTTTGTATGATACCGAGTATAATCAAGTTTATTCTAGTTTGAACACGGCAGGTGTCTCAACAGTACTGATAATTCACGTGACGAAGGTCATAGCGTAGTGATTTAGTATACAAATTCCGTAGAGTTCGGCCGATGTCACGTGGGCGCTTCGCTCAATGTGGCGTGGAGGATTACGCCCGCCTTAAGTACCCGCTTCCTTCGTTCCTGGTGGGTTAGTGTGCAGGTACGCGGTAAATGCTGTGTCGAGTTACGTTAGGTGGATGAAAGGTAGTTGGAAGGGTAAAGGGATAATGTGTAGAGGAGGAAAGTATATATAAGGTGGTCGAGTCCGTGAAGAGCAGGATAGATAGAAGCAGTGTATTAGTTACAATGTCTTTGAGTGGCGGTACGAAAGCAACTGTTCTTGAAACGAGTTTTGGCACTTTTGCTGGGAGTGACCAAGACGGTGCGAGAACGTTTCTGGGTATCAAGTATGCCCAGGTGAAGAACTGGCTCGCTGCGCCCGAACTCATCACTTCGTATGGCAACAAGGTCGTCGATGCTACACAATACGGGCAAGTTACTTTCCTCCCTTCCGCCGTCTAAACTGTTACACTGACAACACTAGACCGCGCGCTCCAGCACCAGACCTTTGCACGTTCGAGCAATCTACCCTGATCCAATGCACCATCGGCGCCGCACCCGAGACTCTCATGTCCCATTCGGAGTGTCTCAATCTAAACATCACCGTCCCATCTCTACACACCGGGGCCGCCGCCGTCTTACCAGTCATGGTATTCATTCACGGCGGCGGCTTGATCATGGGCGCAAACTCTTGGCCACAATGGGATCCTGCACGTCTTATCAAGATGAGCGCTGATATTGGTATGCCGATGATTGTCGTCAGTGTGAATTACCGACTAGGTGCACCAGGAAATTTGACGAGTGACGAGTTGAGAAGCGCTGGGTATCTGGGAAACAACAGTCTGAGGGATCAGAGGTGTGCTCTGGAGTGGGTACAGAAGTTCATCGGTGGCTTTGGAGGTGATGAGGAGAATGTTACTGTGTTTGGGGCGAGTGCTGGTGCTGGTACGTTACTCTAAGTCGTACTCTCAAGGCAGAATGGGAGTGTGCTAATATGAGACAGCCTCCGTATTGCATCATCTGGGTTGTAAAGAACCGTTGTTCAGACGCGCGATCAGCATGTCCGGGACACCCATTATGCTCAAGCCACTGTCGCCCGCTGTGGCAGAAACATCTTACAACGCCGTTCTGCAAGCCCTGGGACTCGAATACGCTTCCACGCATGATCGTATCCAGAAATTACTTGCCATGAGTCCCGAAGATCTCGTCCAGAAAATACCAATCACAATTCCGATCTCTCCATACCTGGATGGCGACATTATCCCCGAAGCACCCTCATTCGCGTACTTATCAAGTGGTACGCTCCAGAGCTTAAATAACACTTGGTGCGAGGAGTTGTTAGTCGGCTCTTGCGCACATGACGGAAACGTCTTCTATTTTATGGGTCTGAGTTCGCGTCTCCCTGGGATCGCATCCACAATCCATACATCCTTCTCCCGCAACCTCTCGGCATCGGTCGCTGGAGCCATATTGTCTGCATACGACATCACACCTTCAACTCCAGATGAAGAGGCTATGGCTTCCATTATCGAATTGGGAACGGACATCGCGTACGGGCTCCCTGCATCGTACTACGCGCGCGCTTTCAGGGGGAGGGTTGCCTCGTATCTCTTTACTGAGTCGAATCCCTGGGATGGTATGTTTAAGGGGAAGAGTGTGCATTTGCTTGATGCGGTGTTCCTGTTTCAGAACTTCAATAAACATATACCTGATAAGGCAAAGATGACGGCCAGGAAAATCGCGGAGGACTTTGTGGCTTTTGCGTATGGGAAAGCTGGTAGTTTGTGGGCGGACGGACGGACCAAGGTATATGGGCTCGATTCTGGCAAGATTGGCGGGTTGGAGACATTGGTGCAACAAGCAAACGTCGATCTGGATGAGGTGAGTGCGGCATGGGATCTATTCGTTGCGGGGAAGTAGGTAGTGACACGAATGGAAGCTTCTAAGTTTGATCGGGCACACACGTCTTGAGCACCTGAGTCTTCTACCTGCTTGTTTACGACACCAGGAAAGATAGCGTAACTATCTTTAATGTCAAATTTCTCATGCATCTCGGCATCGGTTCATCGAAAACGAAAATGCACGTCGCCAGCGAGTGTCCGCCGAGCGCTTTCACCCCCGCACGCCCCATGCAGTTTAGTGCGGGGTAAACTCTCGGCCCTGGCCACAACTCCCGACGTGCAGCATGTGGGGTCTTCGAGCACATCCCCACGTCCCATGAGCACAGCGACGACGATGTTTGCCGCGCAACTTAGCCGGGACAATGTTTCCGATCGGCAAAGATGCGAGAGCGATGGTGTAGTAAGGCATACCACGCTTGTGTGACGGCGTATCGTAGCTTCCTCCCTACAAACCTCAGGATTGATTCTTGAAAACACCTTGGATCTCGATTTCAGCGAAGCAAAACACCGAGAATCGAAATGTCGAAACCAGTAGCCATCGTGACAGGCGCCGGCTCCGGCATCGGCGAAGCAGTCGCAACCCACCTCTACAGCAAAGGCTTCAAAGTTGTTGTCGCAGACCTCAATCCTTCGTCCGGCGAGCGCGTAGCCAGTGCCCTTGGATCCGATGCTATATTCCACCAAGTTGACGTCTCATCCTACAAGTCCCAAGCACAGCTCTTCAAGCGCGCGTATGAATGGGGCGGCAACCGTCTGGACTTTTGTCATGCCAATGCTGGTATTGATGACCGACAGAACATCTTCGAGGATATGGACAAAGAGGAGGTAGATGAGGAGGGTTTGGTTAAAAAGCTGAACACCAAGACTATGGAGGTTAACCTCGAGGCTGTTATCCAGGGACTATGGCTGTTCAAGTATTATGTTAGGAGGAGTAAGGAAGCGGGTGGAGGAAAGGGCAAGTTTGTTGCTACGAGCAGTGCGGCGGGGTTATAGTAAGTCGTTCTTTCCCACGCTCCTCAGCATTTGAAGAGACCAGAGACTAACGAAATCTCCAGCTCCATGACACAATGTCCTCAATACACCGCCAGCAAATACGGCGTGATAGGTCTATGCCGCGCCTCAGGCCCCGTGTTCGTCAAAGAAGGCATCACGGTCAACGCAATCTGCCCTGCCTTCATTCCCACAAATCTCTGTCCACCAGAAGTAGCAGCGCGCTGGCCCAAAGAGCACATCACGCCTTTGTCAACAGTCAACAAAGCCATGGACGCTTTCCTAGCGGACGACAATTTGACAGGCCAGGCGGTAGAGCTATCGCAGGAGAACATCTACTTTAGACAACAGGTTAATTATCCGAATGAAAGTCAGCGGTGGATTGGCATGGAGAGTGACAAGATCTGGGATGTGGGGTACAAGGAGCCACCGAAGAGGGCCGGGTACTAGGACGGGTCATTTATCAATCAAATATCCAAGTTTGGATAGGCTCGATGTGTCATGGTTGATTTTGGTACCGAAGATACTTGTCTTGCAGCCATCATCTCTATGAATACCAAACTACCCACGTCAATAATTCAGTCCTTCCCTTTCTGCCCTCTCGCTTTCCTTCCTCATGAGCTTGGCATGCGCCTCACTCCTCGGCCTGATGTCACATTCAAACGGCTCTGGCACGCTCATAAACCCTGGCTCCATCTTCGTATTGACTTCCATCTCTTCTCCATCTTTCCCTTTCTTCTTCTTGAGGTTGAACCCCCAGAGTACGCGCGATACGTTTATGAAGAGTGAGCGTTCAGCGACATGGACACCAGGACATCCACGCCGCCCTGCGCCGTAGGTGAAGTGATCGCGCTCCAGAGGATCGGGACTGTTCATGTAGTGTGCCGCAGACGCAGTGTAGTTTAGATAGCGCGAAGGATCGAAAGCAGTGGGATTAGACCAAAGAGCTGGATCGTTGTGTATCGCCCTGTAATAAAAATCAGCAAACGTTACGCAATAACATGATGGGGAAGGAAAAGTAGACCTACCACCAATTCAGCACAACAACGCTTCCCTTGGGGATGTACCACCCCTCATACCAATCATCCTCACTACTCGCATGCGGCATGCCAAACTTGTTCACGGGCCTCCACCTCAATACCTCCTTAATCACGCTCCTCACATACGGCAACTTGTCTTCATCCTCCCACGTAGGCAGTCTGTCCCTGCCAACCACCCGATCTAACTCTTCCTGCGCTTTCTTCTGCGCCTCAGGAAACAACACCATACAAAGCACAAAGTTATTCAGCGTCGACCCCGTGGTTTCAGACCCCGCTTCAATAAGCCCACCGCACGTATACGCCGCAGCCAAATCATCGATCCCCGATTTCTCAGGCCCGTTCAGATAAAACGTTTTCGTGAAGCAGTCTTTCGCTACACCGGCATCCGTATCTTTTTTGAGCTTGTTCCACAGATCGAGGTACACTTTGCTGTCTTGTTCACAAAGCTTCTGTCCATGGGTGCGCCAGTTGCCGAAGAGCCATTGTGGCAGCGAGGCTAGCGCTGGAAAGGAATCTATAGCCCACGCGCCGGGTGCAGTGTTTACGGTGAAACGGTCGATGACGCCGTAGATGCGTTTTATGAGCGGGTCATCCCAGCTGGGTATGCGGTAGCCGTATGTGACTTGCATGATCACGCTGGCGGAGTAGCGCCGGTTGATGGACATGAAATCGGCGGGGTCACGCATTAGTTGTTGTAGTAGGACTTTGCTTTCGAAGTCTTGCACCGGTTGGTAGTTCGTACTTGCTGTTAGGTTGAGGAGCGCATGACTGTGCTTGCGGATGCTGCGCCATCTCGGTCCGTATTGCATGAAGAGTTGGCGGCGGCCGGCGGATAAGACGTCTTGGGCCATAGGGGCGGGTGCGCGCGAGGAATATATGTTTGATTTTTTGTCCATCAGGTCTTTTACTGCTTGAGGTGAGGAGAGCCAGATGTAATCTGTTCCGCCGATCTTGGTGTGGAATACATGGCCGTATTTTTTGCGCCAGGCGATGGCTTTCTCGCGGACAGCTTCGGTGTCTGCGAGTTCGAAAAGGGATCCGACGAATGGGTGACCTTTAGGGCCTGGTGGGAGATGTCGACGTCTTGAGTCCTGCGGTCCGAGTCAGTGAGACATGAGCTGGGTTATCTCATGGAGGGTGTTACCTTGATGGCGTTGGGTACGACGATAAAGTACATTGTTAAGAGAAGAAGTATTGGTGTTGTAGCAATCAGCCCAATTTTGATAACATAAGACGATTGCCATGTTGTCTGAATGATGTCAATAATAGCCATGGTGGATGTTGGCCGTGTGCAGATGGAGAAACCTTGGAATTGTTCAACCACTTGAAAGTCCACCATGAAGCACCCAGACAGTGACCTGTAATGTTGTTGTTCTATTAAAATAACCTTTAACTTCTGGTCTTCTAAAGTTTAACGCCGCTATTCGTGAGGCTGCATAGTTCCAAGAGTTGGGGTATACCTAGGTAGCTCGTGGACCCTGCAGCTTCCCCGCAACATGGGCCCCACAAGCCGCTGTACCCCAGGATTCTACAACAGGATGCTAGTGAGACCGGGTCGGCATTAGGTATGAGCGTGAGGTTAGAAACAAGCAAGTATGTCTGGACGGTAAAAGGTGCTGAGCACACAACGAATCCGAAGCCTCAACGCGCAACGCCCCATCCTCAACATGCCCTTAGAACACGACGCCTCCGGTCGAACATTCATCCACCACCCTTCCGGCCAACGAACCCACTATATACTCAACGACTTTACTGACCCCTGGAAACCACGAGAAACAATCTTGATACAGCACGGTTTCGGGCGTCACGCCGCCTTCTGGTACCACTGGGTTCCCGTTCTATCTCGCAAATACCGTGTCATACGACGGGACTTGCGAGGCCATGGATACTCCAGCTACCCCCCAAAATCAGAAAAGTATGACTATACCCTAGATACGATACTAGGAGAGATGGTTGATACACTTGATCAACTCGGCGTGCAGAAAGTGCATTTCTTCGGTGAATCGACAGGAGGTATCTTGGGCGAGATATTCGCGGCCAAATACCCAAAGAAACTTTTGAGTCTGACTGTATGCTCTACACCGACTCATCTGCCTCCACAAGCTTTACAGCTCTTCGCTTTCGGTAGGAAGGACTGGCCGACGGCATGCAGGGAGCTTGGGTCGCGGGGTTGGGCAGAAGAGTTGGCGCGTATTCCTGGTACTGTTCCAGTGTCAGATCCGCAATATCTTCCTTGGTACTTGGAACAGATTGCCATAAGTGACGGTGAGGGATTGGCTCAATATGCGGAGTTCCTGTCAACATTGGACGCGAGGCCGTGGTTGGAGAGGATTAAAGTACCGACGTTGATTTTATCGCCGACACAAAGTGCTGCTGTTAAAGTCGAAGATATGGAAGCTTTGGCCGAGAAGATTGAAGGAAGTAGGCTGGTGCTTGTCGAGGGCCCGGGACATGAGATATACGTCACTCAAGCGGAGCAGTGTCAGCACGCCTTCTTCGGATTCCTGGAGGAACCTGATAGAGGCATCACTAAAGGGGAAAGTCAACGTGATTAGTAATGTGTGTTTTACATTATGGAATATTGCACATGTAATGCGCAAAACGTATTCGCTGGTATCGCTGTCGACCATACTTATGGCTCAAAGAAAAGACCGCCCGCTATCTGCAAGAAACGCCGTCAATGCAAGTGTGAGTGGGTTTCGACCATCATGCTCCTAATGCGCCGTTATGCAATCGTCATGAAAAATGTGAAGCCAAAAACGTGAGTGCTCGATGCGAAGTGTAAGCTGCACCAGGGTCGGTGCTGTGAAGTGTGGCAAATCATGCTTCCTGTCGTTCCCGTTCTCGTCGTTCATTCATATCCAGGGCCATCTTCTTACTGAATTCGTAGCAACTGATCATGATAGCACACGCCGGTGCGATCTTGAGACATCTGGCAGCCCAACCCTTGAACAAGCCTGGCATGCCTTGTTCGCGGTAGATGTGCATCAGGAATCGTGGCATAGATTGGTCTTCTGGCCGTGTCGAGTTCGCGATGTCTTTGGCGGTCTCGCCCATGTGCCGCGCAACTTGTTGTCGTGTCTTTCCAACATCGAATGGTGTGGTGACAAAGGCCGCGACTGCTCCTGAGGTGGCACCGGCAATGAAGCTATCGACCAGTGTATCTCTGTGGTTTTCCTGACTTCGAGATCTGCTTCTTCGTTGTACCCTCTCCTCACCGCGGCCCATGCGGAACTCGAAACCATCGTTTCTTGCCTCTCTCCGTCCTCGTTGATCGGTTAAAACGTTTCTTGTGGCTTCATAACCCCACCAGTAGAAGGCCGAGAAGGGTACGTCGCGCCAGAGGGTCAATGTGAGGCCCCGCCATAGACTGAAGACTCCCTGGTTGCCGACCATGTCTTTCAGTCCGTCCATTGTGTCTCGAAAATGTCCGGCGGCGGTGGCGGTGGAGTTCGCTGCCTGCATTCGTGTTCGGAATATTTCGATTGGGCCTACCGCTATCGCAGCAAGTATTCGGGCAGTCGCTCCCGCCACTAATGGTATGTACGCATCGGATACAGTTTGTCGTAGTGGCGAAGCTTGCGCTGTCCGCAGCCAATCGTATCCGGCGAAGTAGATGACATTTGCAGGTACTGCCATGACCAGTGTTGGTGACAGTCCTCTCCAGAGTGTCCGCGGTCCCTCATTCTGTGCAATCTTGCGTAGCCCATCCCATGTGCTATTTATTGTCTTCCGTTCAACCTCCTCTACCGCACAGCTCAGATCGGCGGGGTTGATGGGTGCCATGGTCGGCCCCGCCACACAGAAAGGTGCCTTGTTGTTCATCCAGAAGACTTCTCTACAGCAAGACGATATGCCGAGGTTCGGAGGCAAATCGCGGAATTGAGTGAGTGTTGCACCGTACCCGCGTGACCTTGGCGCTGTGCTCGAGACGGTTTCTTGTGATTGTAATCGTACGCGGACGACGTCGAGGGGTGTGACTTGTAATTGTCAGTATCAAGTCCCATGGTGCGAGTACCCAGATGTGCAGTGTTGAGACGGGACGAGAACAACACAATCGGAAGGATACATATTAGAACTGTACAGATATAACATACCTAGTAGCGACGTGAGGACACTGCCAGATACGGCAGACAACATCTTTTGTCCGAGCGACACTTCGCCCACACCGCTCGGGTCCGCTTCCTCGGCTCGCTGGGTGGCCGTGGCCATGTTGCCCTTGGTCGGAATGGCAGCGGAACGGCGTGTTACCTCTCAGCGATGAGGGTTGTGGTGTCAGAGGGCTGGATGCGCGAAAAGGGCGTACTGCGCATTGTTTTCTGGGGTGATAGGCAGGTACAAGTGGTGACGAAGGCGACGGAAGCTTTGACGCAAGGACTTAATTATCGGAAACTACGCACTTTTGGCGCGTCATTCCCGCGCCGCCCACGTTGCGCCCCCGCCGAGTGATTGGACCGCCGGCCGAATGCCAGAAAGAAAGGGCGTTGGCTTATCAGATGGCGCATGGGTCGGGCTAGATCATGGATCGAGTGGCGCCCATCATCGCCTCGCCGTGACTTCACAGGCCCTTTCATGCACGCCTAATTACTGTGAACGGAACATTGTCCTGAGTCACACTTCGTTGTATTATGTATTTTTACTAAAAACCTGCTGCTAGCCTCTTCATCGAACCCTGTTCCTGTTGACACCTGCGACTTCGGACATACCGCATCTAACCGACAAGTACTACCGATCTTGGCCAAGTTTGTTACCATGGATCCTAAGGACGTTCCCACCAACACCGAGGCCGAGCTTGAGTCTTTCCGCCAGAAATGGAGAGAAGAAGTCACTGCCCGGGCCAAGGGTAAGACGCCTGCATCGTCGGCATCCGCAAAGCCCACCACTACTTCCTCATCCACCGGCAAACCTCATCCAAACAAAAGCAATGCGTCGGATGCTCAACATCATACTCGTACTCGGAGCTTGAGCTTAGAAGGCGGCGACGAAGTCAACTCTTACACGTATCACAATCTGGGCGAGAAGCAACATGGCCAGAGACTTGATGAAACCAGTGCCCAGACCGCTGCCGCTATTGCTGAGGAGGCTGAACCAAGGTCTGCGTTAGAACACTATGAGAAAGCCGTAGAGAAAGAGAGTCAAGGTAGCCTCGGTGACAGTGTGGATCTATACAGAAAAGCGTTCAAGCTCGACTCAGGAGTCCAAGAAACCTACAAGGCTAAGCACTTCCCGCCCTCATACTTCAAGAAACTCAAAGCTGCACAAGCGGCAAATGCATCGGCTCCATCAGCTGCTCCATCATCTGCCGTGCCTAAGCTCCAGGACCCCAACCCATCCAATGTCTCTGCGACAGTGCCTAATACCGCCCACCACTCCCTACATGGCCTTTCGCCTTCGTATCAGAATCTGATCAGCGAATTCGCGAGCACCTCCATCCTCGGCGAACTACCACCAACAGAATTCAGTCCCACGCCACCAAGTCCAATCTCCAACATCCCAGAAGAAATCATCGTGGAGATTCTGGAGCAACTCGCCGTACAAGACATAGCATCATTTGCCCGTCTAGCCCAAGTGTGCAAACGCCTCGCCTACCTCATAACCACAGAAGACCGCGTCTGGAAACGACTAGCTCTCGGGCCTGAATATGGCTTCACGTCCATGCACTACACCTGGTCATGCGAAGTAGGCGGGAAACCACTTAGCGACGACCATACTGGCGGAATAACCCTAGGCACCGCCGACCTCTCTCTATCCGACAGCGAAGAGACAGAACCCGAGTCTGAACCACTCTCTCCAGCACTCCTGACCCAACTCCTCGTGCCAACCCCCTACCCCACCTACCGCACCCTCTTCCGCCAACGCCCCCGCATCCGCTTCAACGGCTGCTACATCAGCACAGTAAACTACACGCGCCCGGGCCAAGCTCAGCCGACAACCTCCTCCTGGAACTCACCCATTCACATCGTAACCTACTTCCGCTACCTACGCTTCCTCCGCGACGGAACGTGCATCTCGCTGCTCACCACTACGGAACCCGCAGACGTAGTGCCTTACCTCTACACCGAGCACATCCACAAGAACCATCACAACTTACCTAGCGCGCCGATGAAAGATGCCGTTTTGGGTCGCTGGCGTATGAGTGGACCTGAACCGGGTAGTGGGGAACAGGAAGGTACGGTGCATATTGAGAAACCGGGAGCGACGCCAAAGTACATGTATAAGATGGCACTTGCTTTTGGGAATGCGGGCAGGGGGGCTAAGAACAATAAACTGGTTTGGCAAGGGTACTGGAGTTATAATCGGTTGACGGATGATTGGGCCGAGTTTGGACTGAAGAATGATCGTGCGTTTTACTTTAGTAGGGTTAAGAGTTACGGGATGAGCTGGGATGAGAGGGGGGTCAAGGAGTAGGAGTCAAAGATGCGGAGTTGAATGTTAGCAATGAAGGACTGCCGATAACGGTCACTGCATTAGCAAATGGTTGTGAGAAGTCCATGAAAGCTGCACAGACGTGTGAACGTGACGTTGTTCAATTCTTCCTTTTCGCATTATTCATAGACAGCTGTCTCTACGACGTGGCGTAGCACAAGCGTGTCCGTGTTGTGGTATACACCCCTTCTCTTGTCTCTGTGTCTTTACCGTCTGGGCATGCCGCGGCCACGTCCTCTTCCGCCAAGTGCCCTCTGGGCGGCGCCTGGTGGTAGCGGCCTGTTGGGCGCTTGCGGTTGCTGTGACTCCTGGTTCTCTGCTTGTTGTTAGTACTTGCTTACTACACGACATGGTTTCACATACTGATTGTCTCGTCAACGCTCAAGATGAGGCAGGCAGCCTCTGTCGCCGCCTGCAGAGCGTTGACCTTAACCAGACTAGGTTCCCACACGAACTTCTCCATGTTGTTTGCTATGCTCTCAGTTGTGAAGTCGACACCCGCCCAAATATTGCCCTTCTTGTGCTCTACGCGAAGTCGGTTGAGGATGTCTGTCGCGTCAACACCGGCATTGTCGCACAGTTGCCTAGGAATGACCTCGAGTGCCTTCGCAAACGCCTTGATGATAGGTTGTTGCTTGTGCGGGATGTTCTTGTCGGCGTAGTTGTGTAGGTATGATGAAATCTCCATCTCGACGGCACCACCTCCGGCAACGATGTTCCTGTTCTTGATCGCACGCTTGACAATCATGATCGCGTCGTGCAAGCTTCGCTCGACCTCGGCGATGAACTGCTCTGCGCCACCACGGAGCACCAATGTGCAAGTCTTGGCCTCTGGGCAGCCCTGGAAGAAGTTGAAACGCTCGCCACCGATTTGTCGCTCGTCGAAGGATTCGCAGGTTCCGAGATGCTTGCTCTGAATGTCCGAGCAGGTAGACTGGAGGCTCGCGCCTGTTGCTCGGCATACACGGTCAAGATCGTCTGCGGCTACTCGTCCGGCACAGAAGATGTCGCGGTCGGCAAAGTACTGTGTCGCCAAATCGCCGATGGGGAGCTTGCTCAGAACAACTTTGGCGCCCGTCTTGTAAAGCGCTTCCATCTTGTTGTAGATGATCTGCCACTCTGCGTCGACAATCGCCTGGTATTCCGAGACCTGCTCTACCCGTACCTCAGCGTTGTCCTTCTCACTCTTGAGCTCGAGTTCGACGTTCAGGCAGACAATCTTGGGCTGCTTGAAGGTCTTCGGTTGCTGCTCGAAACCGGCGTATGAGAAGGTCTTCTTGAATGCGACACCGTTGACGAACAGTGAGTCCTGGAGAGCACCGCCGGTAATCTTCTTTACTCCGATGAGCTTCTCGTTCAATTCGTCCTGGTCCAGCGAAAGTACAGCGTCTACGACCATCTTTGTGAAGAAGTCGGCGTTCCTGTGAATGAGCTTGCTGCTCATGGCAGTCGCGGCGAGCTTTTGGAGGGTATCCCGCTGGTTGCCCTCGGCGGTGTCTACAGCAATCTCCATGATCTTGTTGACAGCAAGATGCGATGCTCTCCGCAGACCCTTCATGATGGTCTGGCTGCTGACTCCCTGCTCGACAAAGTCCTTGATCTCCTTCAGTATCTCTCCGGCGATAACGACAACGGATGTGGTACCGTCGCCCACTTCGGCGTCTTGCGATCGTGCGATATCGGTGAGGACGCGGGCGGCGGGGTGGACGATGTCGAGAAGCTGCATGCAGTTAGTATTAGTGTATAGAATGAGGTAATGTAGCACAACTTACCTTCATGACTGTGGCGCCGTCGTTGGTGATTGTCTGCCTGCCATTCTCGTCGACCATGAGCAGATCACCGCCATACGGTCCTAGGGTGCCCTTGATCGTGGCCTGCACAGCGAGGCAGGCGTTGATGTTTGATATTACCTGCCCGCGACCCTGTGACTGATCGGTACCTGAGGCTGTAAGCTACGTGTGCATCAAAAAAGTGTCCAGGCACCTACCCTCCCGCAACACCACAATGGTCGGTGTTTGACCGCCGAACGACATGCTGGCTGATGGTGCAAACACAAAAACTTGGATTCAGGTCGTAAAAGCTTTGGAACTCGAACAAAGCTGGCGGTGTAATGTGAGGGGTATGCGCAGCCGTATGTTTCCAAGTTGTCTGCGGGGAACGCGTTCCCGTGAATTTTCCATTTCCAGGGCACGTCCGTCTTGTTGCCAAGGCCGTCCGTGCCCTTGTTGACAACCTTCTTCCGACCTTCTCTCAACCTTCTATGCGTTGTGCCACAGTACGCCATCGCATAACCTCCAAACCTCCAGCCTGGATTCCTCGTCGTCGCAGCATCCATACGATCAATCCCGTGCTGCGTAGTGACTTTGACACGGCACATGTGACTTCGTGACCGCTTCGTCTCATAGGGTGAACCTATCGCAGGACTTGCCATTAGCCCCGATCACATCCACAGACTCTCTCCCGTAAGCGCCCATTTGACGAGCATGCCGGCCAAGACATCTGCCAAGAAGGTCAGGTCATCCTGTACTCGTGATCCTTAGTAGCACTGACGTGTGTATAGATGGTGCCCACACCCAAGCCAACGGAGGATATCCGCTTACGTCGTCTGGACCGTCGTTCAAAGGAGAGTGTAGAGAAGCAAATATCGCTAGCCGAGACCATATCACCCTTGGATACCTATCCACCATTACTGCGCATCCCATCTGAAATCCGGAGAGAGATCTTCCGGTACGTCTTACCATCGTCAAACAAACGCTTCATTCTGTACACCGACTGCGACTCTCGATCCATCAACAGAAAATGGAACAAGAACTGCCGCCCACATCCAGATAGACATTTGACTCTGGACATTCTGCGAACGAACCGCCTGATCTATCACGAATGCCTGCAAATCATCTACTCAGAGAACCAGTTCCATTTCTATGCATTTAATTATCTACCTGTTCTCGACTTCATACGCCATCTCAGTCCTGAAGCGAAGAACCAAGTCCGCAATGTGCGGCTTACGCCTTTGACGGATAAGCAGGATGATCCGCCGGCGTCGCACGATGTCTTCTGTACTGTCATGCATGACTCTTTACCTGGACTCAGCCAACTACAGGCAGATCCCGTTATCTTCTTCTAGGAGGACGGCCAGCCTTTCCTTCAATTCCAGTTTTCCGTCTGTCCAGTCGTCGCATCTAGGTACATAGGCGAATCTACGAGGATGTGACCTTGCGTATAAGGCATATATGAGACATTAGCCGATTCGATCATTATATGGCAGCCATTTCGTCTCCAACGCATGGCACGATCAAAACCATGCGATGATGCTGACCAACTTAGACTTCCTTTGACCCCAATTACTGATTACGCTGGAGATTAGTCACCCAGGTCCAAATCTCAAGCTTAGATGGCCTCGTTACTGATGACTGGACAGCTCAGCCGGCATGGCTGCCGTGCCAGTGAGCCTTCTCGACCTGGAATGTTCTTCGATGATCGCCAGGAGATCTCGATGTTCCGAATCAGAGGCAATATCATAAGGGCTCTTGCCCTCTGCATTCGCTTGAAACGGATTTGCTCCTCTCTCGCATAGGAAGGATGTTACTGTGGCGCGAAGATTCAGATCCCATTTGTAGGCGCCTGTCCAGAAAGAAACAGCTTGGTGCAGCACGGTTCCCCCAGACGTCATCATCGGTGCATTGATGTCCCATCCGCGGTTGAGCAAGATATCCATGACTGCGATGATTTGGCTTGGAACGAGGTGCTTGTCGGCATCCGACGTGGTCTTGATCAGCCAAGAGCGACTCATAAGCTGTCCGGCCAAGGTCGACCAGGTATCCGGCTCGGCTGGCACCGCTCCGTTAGCAGTGAGCAAGTCGACCATGGCCACTTGTCGAGCGCCTACAGCAAAGTTGAGCGGCGTTAGAGTTGTTGAGTAGCCAAAAGGAACTTCGTTGACGCTGAAACCCGCTTGGATCAGGGCCCTCGCCATACCCACTTCTCCCAGAAGCGCGGCGAAGTGTAGCGCGGTCACTCGCTCTGGGCGGCCCCGTTTACGCACACTCGAGCGCCAGAACCCCTTCCTCTTGTTAAGGATAGCTGCCAACGCTCCATCATCTCCATCGCAAACAGCCTCTTCGGTCCGATCCCTTGGTTGGCATCCGACTTGACCAAGTATCTCTTTGCGAGATAAGGGCTTTCCCTCGGATGTCTCCACATGCTTGGGCTTATCCGAGCTCGGAACCACTGGTTCTGCTTTTCTCGGGCTAGGAGGGTAGCCCTGTATTCGACTTCCATCCTCTGACGGCCTCCATTCCACTCTGTTTGATGCAGAAGGTTGCGATTTTTCCATCGGAGGGCTGGAATCCACCAGAGTCACGTTCTCGGATATAACACTTCGAGGCGCTTTCCAAGGGTTGGCAGCCAGTACCATGGACATAGATGCTGAGTCGCTCCCAGTAGGTTCTGGCGAGGCTTCCAAGGTTGTTACAGAGAGTCTGCTGCGAGGTCGCTCTCCTATCGCATCGGTCTCGGAGGGTCTCGCACGCGAGAGAAGCGAAGAAAAGTCAAGGTGCTCTACACTCGTTTGCAGCGATTCTTCGACTGCCTTCAATGAGGCTTTTCGGTTTGCTTCCGGTATCATGGCAAGGCACGATTTCGCAAGCGCACGGTTGTTGAGCAAGACGTAAATGTGAGCCATGAGAGCCAAGGACTCTAGAGAAGAAGCATGTCGTTTTCCCAGTAATCGTCGTCTTGCTTGTAAGGCTTTCTCGCATTCGGCTCGTGCACGGTCGAGATGCTTCATTCGGACATATAACTGAGACAGCAAGTGCGTCGCGTTGTGGATGCATTCACGCTGTTGATCAGAGTCTGTTGGCTGATTAACGAAGCCGATCAGAGCTTCTACGGCAACCACAGGTTCCTGGACATAGTAGGTGCAGATCGCCAGCTTGTAGTATAAGTGGAACCCATCACAGAAGGCCCGCTGGCGCGTCGACAGCCCCTGCAGAATTCTGAGAGCTTCTTGAAGTAGAGAGTCCGCCTCGTCCCAATTTCCGGAGTCGAAGGCTTGTGAACCTGTGCTCAAGGCCGCTTTCGCGAAATCGGTATCCAGGTCGTCGTCCGAGTCGGACGTCTCACGTTCTTGTACGCCCTGTAGCGGACCCGCACCTCGCACGACACTGAGCGCTCTCTTAGGACTCTTCAACGGCGCCGGCTCTTTCCGATCTTCTCGTATCTCTTGAACGGCCTTCATCCATGGAACAACATCGCGATCGCTAGAGGCCATGGGTGTGGTACGAACTACAAAGTCTTCCCGTGGGTTGGCTTCCCGAGCGCTCATTCCTTTCACAATAACCTCCTGCGCATACTGCATTAAGGTCGCCTCGGTATGAGAGTACCGCCATGGCGGACCGACCTGAGATGAACGTTGTAGCTTTTTGACCATTTGATGCAGCTTCACGACATCAGGTGCAGGACGTTGTTCGGGCTGTACAGGCGCAATATAGGAAAGAACACTGGGAAACAGTTCAGCGATTGAAAACAAATTTGGTGGAAGAAAGGACCTACGCCTGAATCAGGAGTAACATAGTTCTCAGATTGTCGCTGTGTCTGTGTACAGCGGCTCCCATTTCTTCAATCTGGTCCTTGCTATTGTTCAGCTGGACAAGGCGGTGCGGCTGGAATACAAGGCTGGCCTCTTCCGCCTGTTCCATCCTGACAGCATTGACGAATTTGTTCAGGCTATCTATCGTCTGACTTGCATCCTCGACTTGAGTTGCCAGACAATTCCACATTCTACCATCGCCATCGTAGGGTGGAGGTGATCCCGTTTTGGTCTTGCTTGCGACTTCTGCCAGTTTGAGGTGAATCTGGTAACACTCGATCCCGAGCGACTTCACCTCCCCCACCAGATTGTCAAGAGATGCATCGCTGGTTTTCGCGTCCAGGTTAAGTTCGGAAAGAGATACGAACAACGCCCAAGCCGTTTTATTAAGAACCGAAACAGCGGAAGCTGCATCCGCCGGTGTGATCGCAACTCTCTCCATCGCTGATGATCGATATTTGCACTGCGATGGGTGTGAGTCCCAGGATGAATCGAATCGCTGGCTGCGCAGACGCTATGCTAGGCAGTGTGACGTGAAAAGCACCGGCCATCGATTGCTACACAGGTCGTGGCTTGCGCCACAACGCCGTGGATCATGCGGTGAGCCTGAACGGGAGAACTAATTAACTTTTTAGTACAGCTACGCCGATCTGGAACTCTGCCGCCCAATAGAAACATGGAAGAAAAATAAAAAGTCTCTACCATTGGGGCCGGTGGGGTTGTTGGTGTCACAGCACCTTTGCTTGTGCACTTCGAAAGTCAAGCAATTCAAAGGGTCACCAAGGGCCGAACACAACTATCCCCATTGTTCGATGCGCGCCATGATACGCCTGTCACATATTTTGTACGAATGACTTTGCCAATATGATGGAAAGAGGCGTAGACATACGAGCAAGATGATGGGGCCGAAACCTATCCCAATGCGTCCATTTTGGCCTCCGCACCTCACTCCGAGCACACAGACCTCTCAGCTTACTGGGCTGATAAATTTCTGTGACTCCCAGTGGTACTTCGCATATCTTGGCTCTATCTCCGCAGTGGGCGGAGCCATGTCTGTGGATGCAGGGTGTGTTCACAATTTAGCGTTAAGGTACGCCACGGGCTTACATATGCGCGCCGCACACAGCAATCTTACGCGAAGGACTGAGCTGCGCAAAGTGAGCTTCCAGTCGAGCCTTGCTCGTGCAATCGATCCTAGTGCACCAAACAGAAGTATATCGACCGGATAACAGCATCCTGAGATTAAGCAGGACTTCAGCATTTTAACGATACCAAGCACGGATGGCTTCCGCCTCAAAGATCGGGCGCACTGCATGAAGAAGGTCTCGTAACACAGCTGGTGAGACAAAGATAGCGAGACTGCGCTGCCACAATCATGCACTGCGCCAATCAGTCCACCTATCGAAGAACACGAGTGCATGGACGTCCGCAGATCGGATTGACCTGGCCCCATCATACGTGAGCAATCGAACACCAGCTGCTAAGATGAACAGACCAGCCTAGCCAGCATTCTGAATTCTCCCTTTGTCTCATCGTTTTAGATTCCCGCGGTAGAGTCATCATCATCCTGTTCTTACATCGAGAACTCCCACCATTGCAGCTCGCCGATTGATTGCTTGAATACAAGGCTTAAATCTCACGAGACACCCCATCAGCCATACGAGTACCAATGGCTAAGCTCGACGAATCCGGATGGGCAAATGCAAGAGCGCCTGTCCGTAACGACGACCATGGAGATTTCGAGAGACCGAAAGGATGGAAATACCGCAGCTTGAGAATCGGACCCATCAAGATTCCATGCTATGCATCTCCCGAATCGCAGTTGATCCTGGTGTCGTTCGTCTGCTTCTTGTGTCCTGGTGAGCATCACAATCTGGTAGCAACGTACAGTTGACTGATCTTACGCAGGCATGTTCAACGCCGTCAATGGTATAGGAGCCGCAGGTCTCGACGACGACGCTCACGCTAGCAACGCTGCGAATACTACACTCTATGCTACCTTCGCAGTTGTTGGTTTCTTCGCTGGCACCATCACCAACGTTCTCGGTATTCGAGTCGCGCTTTCCTTCGGTGGTCTGGGGTATTGCGTCTATGTCAGTGCATTGCTTTGCTTCAACAAGACACAAAACCTGGGCTACGTAGTCTTCTCTGGTTTCTTATTAGGATGTTGCGCTGGTATACTGTGGTCGGCGCAAGGTAAGACTTGACTGTACGAAATGCATGTGAGACATATACTGACTTCGTACGTCTTGCAGGTGCCATAATGATGAGCTATCCACCAGAAAAGCTGAAGGGACGGTACATCTCTTTGTTCTGGATGTAGGTATCTCTCTACGCACTGCATGTGAGACATAAACTGATTTCGTATATCAGCATATTCAATATGGGTGCTGTTATTGGCAGCCTGGTCCAGCTTGGGCTGAACTTCAATACACAAAATGCAGATGGACCAGCAGCCGTCACTGACCAGACATACATAGGCTTTATGGTCCTCACCTTCCTCGGCGCCTGTCTTTCCTGGACACTCATCGATGCCAAACACGTCATACGTCGCGACGGCAGCCGAATTATCATGATGAAACATCCAACCTGGCAGTCCGAGATCTTTGGTCTTTGGGAGACTCTCCGTACGGATCCGTATATCATACTCCTCTTTCCGATGTTCTTCGCTTCGAACTGGTTCTACACATACCAGTTCAACGATGTCAACTACGCTCGTTTCAATGTGCGGACTCGCGCACTGAATAATGCGCTGTATTGGCTAGCGCAGATACTTGGAGCTGGTGTGTTCGGATTCGCCCTAGACTTTCCGAACATCAGAAGGACTACTAGGGCGAAAATTGCTTGGGTAGTCATGCTAGTGTTGACTTTTGCCGTTTGGGGAGGAGGCTATGTATTTCAACGGCAGTATAGTCGCGAAGATGGTAGCCACCACTTCGACTGGAAAGATAGCGGATACGGCGGACCGATGGGTAAGTTCTGGCTGTACGAACTGCATGTGAGACATGTACTGACTTCTTATCCCCGCCTCTGCAGTGTTGTACATAAGCTACGGCTTCTACGATGCAGCATGGCAGACATGCGTGTACTGGTACGTCGATCTTCGCATCTGCATTGCTCTCTGCTAATCATCTTCAGGTTCATGGGCGCCATCTCAAACAACAGCCGAAAGCTCGCCAACTTCGCTGGCTTTTACAAGGGCATTCAATCAGCTGGAGCAGCTATTGTGTTCCGCTTAGATGGCTTCAAGAGGCCTTACCTGGATATCTTTCTATCCAGTTGGGTGCTGTTGGCTGGTAGCTTGATTGTCGCGCTACCAGTGATGCTACTGAAGATCAAAGACACGGTGCCACTTGAGGAGGACTTGAAGTTTACAGATGAGACCGTCGAGGATGTGCTCGGTAGGAGGGACGGCTACCTGTTGGACGAGCCCGAGAAAGCGTAGGATGTTACGTCCGAACAGACAAGGTGTCGTTTCTCGCCTACCATGGGTGCGACGGGAGCTACGACCAAAGGACAGTTAGCGCTCAACTAACAAATACGATCCGCAAGATCGATATCAGGCGCGCAAATTGTTGACAGAATTCTCATCAAATATTTTCCCATCAAAAATGTGTATGCAGCTGTGCAGTATTGCCTCCGACTCCGTTGCGATACCGATAAGCCACTGGAGCACTTTATGCCGAGCTCCGGCGCCCCTCGGGATTCCACATGCGCTACGTCGTCCACTCCGAAAGCGCTTTCAAATCAACGCCATGCGTCCTTTCCAAATTATGACATGTCTACCAGATTTCCATGCCCCGCTTTCGAGAAGGGATCGCTTTTCTCTTCCTGTGTTAGAAATGAACAGCTCAACGTCCTTGGCACGTTGGGCACGATCTGGGTCAGCGGACCCTGCAGTCAGCAAGTCGCTATGTAGTTATCGTTGATATCATCCAGCATCGGTGCTGAATCAATTGCCATATAAATGAAGCCCTCTGCATACATTTACTGCACCAGCATCCTGACAGTATCTACGTTCAGCGCTCATCATGGAGACTAGAACTCAATCGGCCCTTACAAGCACCGGCACCACGCCCGACAACCAATCGGGATTCGAGCTTGAAGCAAGCCAACTATGGAACGAGCAGCCCGTGAACGAGAACGAGTCTTTACTACCGCCGGCCGATGGCGGGAAAGATGCATGGTTGTTTGTTGCAGCTGGGTTTATGGTGGAGATGATGGTGTGGGGTGAGTATGAATTGTTTCATTGACTACGCCTTTGCTCTCGTAGTATTATCATGACTGCATCTCTTCCAACCCGTTCCTTCCGTAGTAATATCTACGTTGAAACGTTTGCTAATGTAAACAATAGGTTTTCCATGGTCGTACGGTATCTTTCAAGAGTACTATAGTTCATCCCCAGAATTTGCCGGTTCGTCTGGTATCCCAGCTATTGGCACCTCAGCGATGGGTATTTTGTATATGATCGCGCCGTTGACTTTCGGTTCGTTCACGCGCTGGCCGCAGTACAGGAGGAAGGCAATGGTCGCTGGTGTATTTACCATGTGCCTTTCGCTTGGGCTGAGCTCGCTATGCACGACCGTACCGCAGCTCATTGTTACTCAAGGCATCTTTTATGGTGTTGGCGGCGCAATAGCGTACTGTCCTTGTATCATACTCTTGGATGAATGGTTTGTAAGACGCAAAGGTCTTGCATTTGGTATCATGTGGGCAGGTACAGCACTCGGTGGCGTCGTCATTCCGCTATTGCTGCAGTTCCTTCTCAATCGCTATGGCTTCCGCAACACGCTACGCATATGGGCAGGCCTACTCTTCGCAGTTCTTCTACCCGTTACAATCTTTATCAAACCACGGCTGCCTGTCCCGGCAACTACTAGGTGTCGAATCACTTTCAACTTTCTCACAAACAAGACCTTTTGGGTTTTGCAATCTGGAAACATCCTGCAAGGCTTGGGTTTCTTTGTACCATCTATTTGTAAGTATCTCTATACGTTTCGCATTGGAAAAGTACACTGACTTTGTGCTCCAACATCAAGACCTTCCCACATACACCAAGGCATTAGGATTCAGCAGCGCAGTTTCCGCTGTTCCTCTCATCCTCCTCAATGTCGCCGCAGTCATTGGATCCGTCAGCATGGGAAGCATCATCGATCGCACACATGTCACCACCGCCATCCTCATTTCCACCATCGGTGCCATGATCTCCACTTTCCTGATCTGGGGCTTCAGCACTTCTCTACCACCATTGCTGATCTTCTGCTTCACATACGGACTCTTCGCGGGTAGCTTCGCGAATACCTGGCCCGGCATCATGAGAGCGGTGCAAACAAGTACGGGACAGATGGAGAGCTCTATGGTCTTCTCCTTCTTGTGTATGGGTAGGGGTATTGGGAATATCGTGAGTGGGCCGATCAGTGAGGCGTTGATCAAGACGGGAACTCTTGGTGAACATGGATTGTATGGAACGCAATATGGCAGTTTGGTGGTTTGGACAGGGGTTAGCGCTGCGCTTGGGGGTGTGAGCATCATCGGAAGGAGGGTGGGATGGCTGTGATGGAGCATGGGCCATCGCGACGCGGCATGGCGCGAACTGGCGCGCGTGATGTCACTTCCGAGACGCGTGCGCTGACGACCCGGAATGCATCTTCTTGTGTTTATGCTATCTCAGGGAGTGCATGTCTGGTCACGCCGAAGTCCAAGTCCATTACATAAATCATCTGTTGTGGGCAGCCTCTCGCTCACATAAGCTGGCCCCGGGTGTGCACACCATGCCGCGGCTTCGCTTCATCCCGCCTTTTTCGCCTGCTTTTGGGTCAAAGTCCGCCCCCTCCATATCGTTCACCTGCCGCACACTCAAGTCGCCGGAAATGGATATGCCAACCTTCCATTCGTCACTGGGTGTTTCTCAGCCGCTTCAGGTGTTGGCCCGGGCACCATGCATGCCCGTCTCCCGTCCCTGACCTTCGGTCCCGTTTAATCCTGCAGAGTAGTTCGGAATACACAACCTCCGTTCTGATGACTTGAGGCTGCTATTGAGTATTGGATATGATACCTGCTAAACGGTGCTACTTCACACCGCCGACGGACTCCCCGTCTTCCGGGTAGGCACCTACCGGCGGCAAAGAGACTTCAGCCTCGCGTCCATCACGAACCTAGAGCAGTTTGGTGGCTGCATGGGCTGAGCTCTTGCAGGTTGATCGGTGCAGTCATTGATGGGGGCCAGTTTTCTCAGACAGTCTAAAGCCAGCAATGGCTTCTCATGGCTTGCGGAACGTCGCTCTACTCCTCCCGACATTGGGCTACTGTTCGTGGAGTCTGCAGCTCAGACCTGCTTACGCTAAGCTATCCAATATCTGCATGTATCAACATGCATCCATCAGACCAGGCTAGAATCCAGCCTTGTGTAAAGCAGCCATCAGGCGAGAGTGAGCCTGCGTCTTTCTTCCTGCTCAGAGATATCGCGCGCTCTTTCTGATGATCTACCATTGAACTACCGGTGTCCGACGCCTTCCAGACGAGATGTCGAGTCCGTACCGAAGAGCAGCCGATCCGATGATTTCACGGCCACCTTCCTATACGCCAGAGATTCCTGTAGTCAAAACGTCCAGGTCAGAATCTTCCAAGAGCACCGGTCGGCCTCGAGGATCGTTCTCTACTGGTGTCTTTCGGGATGGACCAAAGCCTACGTTGGATCCATCGCATACGCTCTCACGCGATCGAACTGAGGTCACCTTCGATGATTCTCCGCTACGGCTGTGCGAAAGCTGCGAGGTTGAAAAGTCTCCAGTATGGGACTGTTCATACTGCGACATGAACTTCTGCGACGACTGCTGGGGGAAACAGGGCCCACACAAAGCGGGACGCACTGGGCCTGATGGCCTTCCGCATGAGAAGGCGAATCCAACTGTTGTCAAGAGGCTACGAGACATTTTGACTCCTCCTCGAGAGCACAGAGAACAGCAGATACTACACATCGAAGATGAGGATACAACGTGGTTTGGAATGGTCCGCAATAGTCAAAATTCGCCTGCCTTCCAAGACTATGGTCGTTACTCTGCCATCATGGCGGATAGTAACTCTGGCGAGTTTAAGTACCGTTTCCCGCAACTTGTATCTTTCATCGGTCAGACCGGAGCAGGCAAGAGTACGCTTATCAAGATGCTCATCGATCAGCAAGAACGCATGAGCCAGCCACGGAACTGGAGTCTCCCATCGCCTGTCGCAGGAACATCAGCAAACAGCAACGTACCCACTTCTGGTGACGTACACTTGTACAGTGATCCAAGCACATACAACACCGAATACCCGCTGCTCTACGCCGACTGTGAAGGCCTAGAGGGTGGAGAAAATACACCTATGGCTGCACAATATCGAAGTGGCGCGACCGCACCACAGAAAGAGAAAGGGAGGGAGGATATCGCATTAGGTGAGCACCGAAAACGCCGCAAAGTCACCAAAAGCCTGCACAGCACCCAGAGAGACATCAAGTGGGCGAACTCTCCCGATAAGTCAAAACGACAATATGCTGTTACGGAACTATACCCTCGCCTTCTGTACACCTTCTCCGATGTCATTGTGTTCGTTCTGCGCAACGCAAAGTAAGTGATTATCATGCGAAAGCATGTAGCCTACCGATCGTGTATAACCGATTGTCTTAATGGAGTAAAAGCTGACGCCATCACCATAGAACGTTCGAATCTACAGTGCTGGGATTGCTTATCAAATGGGCGGACTCTTCCTTTGAGAAGTCGGTGAACCAACCTACACTCCCGCACGCTGTCATTGCACTCAACGCAACAGACACCAAAGTAGACCAGAAGGAGTGGAACCCTGAGTATGCGACAGAACTTCTCATGTCCAACGTCGCCGGAGCTATCAGTCGCGATCCAGCATATCGTGAACGACGAGACTATTGGGTTGGGAGGGGCAGACGTATTCACACCATGAAGGATCTCCTTGAGTGTTACTACTCCTCGATCACGGTTGTACGAATACCTGGCGAAGGTAGATATATGATGATCGATGAACAGGTACTCTCACAAATGAGGAAAGTCGCAAGTGTAATATACTAATACACTGAGCAGGTGAAGAAATTACATCAAGTGGTCACGCATCGATGCTTGGAGTCGTTTAACGCCAAACGTAGATCGCGCATGCTCTCTAATTCTGACAACCTCAATGTCTATCTACAATGCGCATTCGACCATTTCTCGCAGGACCTTCATACACCATTCGACTTCATGGACATTTCCTTCAAGATCAACCCAATACCTCAAGACTTTGGAGGTCATGTCCTGAAGTTGGCCGTTGCAATGAAGTCTCAATTCGACGACCCCAGGAAGATCTTCAAGGAACTGAGCCACATGGTGGCCTCTTGTATACTTTTGGACTGCGTTCGACAGGATCTCAAAGGATCAGCAGAGCAGATCTTGGAAACACAATACATGACGCACTGTGATGGCGCTCTTGACGACTTTTGCGCTATCTTCTGGCCGTGTTCCTTCATCAACAGAAGAGGTGAACGATGTGTAAACGTAAAGGAGCGACATGTGAAAGGACACCAAAACCAAAGAGGCAGCGTCATTGGATCTGGCCCCTATGAGTCAGACTTCACATTTGACAAGTTCTATGAAGACTGGTTCGAATACCTTAAGCATTATTTGATCGATAACAAATCAAAGCTTGATTTGCAAATGACGAAGTCTCCAACAGCTGAGGAGGAGGATACGGTCAACAAACTCCATTTGGCCAACGTTACCGGCTTCTATCACCACATGGGTGGTGCACAGAACTTTGTCAGTCACACTACCTGTTTCTGTTGCTTAAGGGAACTGGCAGAGCATCCCTTGCCTTGTGGACATGTGCTTTGTACAGCGTGTGTCAAAGGTTATGGCAGCCCACATCGGGAACTCTCAGGATCTTTCACCGTCGCCACATGTCCGCTGCACGATCACCAAGCCGTATTTCCTACACCAGTAGAGATCTACTTCAAGCCTCCACTGGCAGGCTTACGGATTCTGTCTCTTGACGGAGGTGGTATAAGGGGAATAGTTATTCTGGAAGTCCTTCGTCAAATACAACAGGAGCTAGGTGGTCGTATCAAAGTCCAAGAGTTCTTTGACCTCATCGTTGGCACCAGCACTGGGGGTATCTTGGCGCTCGGTCTTGGTGTCAAAAACTGGTCTGTAGACCACTGCAGTCAACTCTTCCTCAGGATGGTGGAGAAGGCGTTTACACCCAAGTTCTTTGGAGGGGTAAGCCTAGGAACTAACAAATACCATACCAAACCTCTCGAAGAAGCATTCAACGAGTGTTTCAAGGATGAGACCATGTTTGGTGGAGTACGTGACACTCCAGTTGCTAGCGCGTGCAAAGTCGCGGTAACCTCTGCAACTGAGACTGCAGAACAAGCAGTCATATTTACAAACTACAATCGCGCAGAGGACGAGCAAATTGGCTACCAGTTGGTTCGACCTGACGACCCAAAGAACGACGTCTTGATTAAAGAAGCTGCACGCGCAACCTCTGCCGCTCCGACATACTTCAAGCCGTTCAGAAACGCGCGTACAATGGAGGGTTACGTGGACGGTGCTGTCTTTCACAACAACCCAGTTCGCATCGCCAATTACGAAAGCAAGCTTCTTTGGCCTGATGCCGACCAGCGACCTCCGGATCTTCTTCTGTCCATAGGAACTGGCCAACACGGCGCAGATACCGACAATTTTCTGAATGCCTCGCGTTACGATAGCAGGCGTTTCCAGATTCGAAAGATATTCAGCCAGGTCAAGGATACGCCACGCTTGAGACGATCTATGCCTGTACTAAGAGCATTTCCCGAAATCGAATCGTGGCTTACTATATTCAAACAACGGGTTGAGAGTGCTTTGGATGCGGAAGCCACATGGAGAGAGTTCCGTAAAGACGTCGTCGGAACGGCCCCGTACGCTGCAGCCGAGCGATACATTCGTTTCAATCCAAGAACCATGAGTCGGATACCCAAGATGGACGACAAGTCGCAGATCGACAATCTACTGGAAGAGATCAAGACCAGTCTTCGCAAACATGGCGCGCAGACAAAGATCAAGAACATTGCGCAACGACTCGTAGCTAGTTCATTCTACTTTGAGAGATCTTGCCCCTCCAGGCCCACCGACGATCATATCATTGTGCAGGGTTAGTTTGTTCCATCGATCGAAGTAACTGACTAATGATCGCCAGGCAACATCCAATGCAGATTTGCTGCAGGCTCCCACAATCTTCGGGACTTGGGTGACTACATACGCAAGCACCAATCGCCTTATTTCCAGCCGTTCTTTCGTATACAAGAAGCCATGCGCGTCGAAGGAGCTCAATCTATACCAGTCACAAGGCATACCATCCGCGACATGACAGAGAGAGGTTTGTTTAGACTGGACTCGATCGTCATACCAGTTGCGTCAGAGAGTGCAGTCGTGTCGATTGATCTGCATCTGACTGACGACCGAACTATGCGACACGGGCAGTCTGGTTTTCCGATCAGCGGCTTTCCCAGGCTTCTCGCAGATGGCGAACCCCTCAAGCGAACCAGTGCGTATTCATCTGACTTAGTGTCACCACACATATAACTGATGATTAAAGCCTCCCATGGAGCTTCGCCGAAGCCTGAACGTCCTAAAATTTTCAACAAGAGACAGTCTCTTCGGGAAAAACGGCACGCGCGTCTCAGTGTCATGATGGATCGACCAGCAAGCGACAGCAACATCTCTTATGCAAGCCGCAATGAACACGCTGAATATCCTGAGATGCCAGGTGACGTACCCGACTGGATTCACCGTCGTAGCGAAGCAAGTCGCGGCCCACCTAGGCCCATGCAAGACTTCCTGCATCAGGATCAGCATCGGAACCTTCCGCCAACTTATGTCGACGACGTAAACCTATATGAGCTCGATGCCGAACCACTTCTCACACCAGGTGCCAGCGACAATGCTATACCGCGAACAATCTCACCGGGCGAATGGAGAGAGGACTATGGTGAGCAGGTCACGCAGAGCGACGACGACGAAGACCTTGCAAAAGCGATAGAGCTCAGTCAGCAAGAAGCATTCTCAGGACCAAGGAGGACTAGTACAGGAGGGTTTGATGAAGATCAGATTGCTGAAGCACTGAACAGGTCTTTGCATGTTTCGGGGAGGCAGTAATGGTGAAGAGTACTGTCCATTTAATGAGACCAAAAATTAGTTAATTTCGTAATAGAAAATTGGCGTTCATGATTCGCTTCTGCTCATCCCCTGCGGATGCGGCTGTTCCATCTCCTATCCTGCTGTCCGAACCCATGTATCATAATTGCTATCTCCCATCAAGCAGGCTTCTTCACATCCACTTTATCGAACTGCGTCGACGAAAACAACACCCGTGTAGAAGTCTTATGCCTCAGTCCACTCCCATCACCCCCTCTCTCGAGATGCTCCTCTTTACTCCTCCTCCCCTTCCTTTTCCCTGTCCTATTCCTCTTATCTAACGGCGAATGGCACACAATCTGACTCGTCGGTCGATGAAGCGCAGCTTCGGAATTCGAATGGGTCGAGGAATTATATCGTGGTATTGGCAGCTGCATGGCAACGTGATTCTCTTCCGATTGAGTACGTTTTGAGGGTCGGTTTGGGTGCGATGAGGGTTTTATAGGGTTGAGGCTGGACTTCCATTTCTTGAGAGTTGTGCTGAAGAGCATTTTGTGTGTCTGTTCGACGCAGTTATTGTCGTCGCGTGTCGTAGGATTCAAGCGCGTCTCTTGCGCCCACGGTGTTGGAAGGTCTAGCGAAGGTACGGTACAGAGTAGGAAGCAACGATTCGAGCGAAGCGATCGTAAAGGACATTGAACGGCATCATATCATGACATATGCACCGATATAACGGGGAATTATCTCCATGACTTCGGAAGCGCTGCTTCCCTAGCTAGGAACGGCAATCTCCTTACGTGACGTGACGTGTGACGAGCGATGGATGTAAACCGCGCCGCATAAGAGTCGTTCTTGCATACCCGGTAGCTCTTCGGTAAATTCCACGAGGCCATAGCCAGGTTCCTGGAACCCGCTGTAAACTCTATCTCTCATACAAGGAACTTCCCACCGCATGTTACAGAACTTGGGGTGAGAAGAAGTAGAGTTTGATGCTGCCCGTTAGTTCTATGGACCAATCCACATGTTCGCAGCGGGACTGCGGCACAATAGCGGAACAACGCCCGTCGGCCCCGACCGTACCTGCTTAAGTTGGTTGTGCAATTTCATGAGTGGCTCCTTCGAGTTTGTGCTCAAAGCATGTGGCTTGCAGGTTGTGGCATGAATCTTGGGGGGATGCGGCACGGCGGTGTTCGGACAGGGGTGCGTCGGTACCCGACGTAATGCACAAGAAGGAGCGAAATTGCATCCGAGAGGATGCTGCGCGCCTAGACTACAGGGTAATCTATCTTGTATGTAGTCAGCATGACGACGGAACGTGTTACAGACAGAGGCTGAGTAAGCTCAATGTGAAGTGCATTCAGAGGCTGGCTGAACGACACGACGACCTTGGTGTTCCTCAAGGGTGTCCCACCGCAATAATTCGTGGACCAAGACCGAGCCAAGCTCAGACGCAATGGCGGTGTTGTTATCGACGTGTACTAGCCGATACAGGAACACTACGAAGTCGATAGTTTCGCACACGCATACAGATAGGCCGATCTCCCAATGGTACGTATCGCAAACTCTCCGTATGCACACATGAAACATTGGCTAAAGATCTGAACGGCGTCTTCCATCAATTATGGATCTGGACTTATCGTACAGGCTCCACCACCGCAATATCTGGGGATGTTCGTGAAACCAAGAGCGCTTCTTAGCTGATCAATCGCATCGTGACCTCGACCGTAGCAAATGTGCCCGCCGAGACTGGCATAGCCCTGAGCAAAGTCGGTCCAATACCCCTCCAAAAGCCACCCAAGCCCTCTCCCTTGTACGTCTTCGCAAAACAATCCCTCATACTCCTGTACTTCTGATCCTTGCCGAACGCATCACTCTGCATCTTGCTCTTGATGACTGCAGAGGTAGAGGTACGAAGTCAGTATATGTCTCACATGCACTTTGTACAGGACTTTTGAAAGCTTACCATCAAACGGATATGAACTTATCCACAGTACCTCACCTGCAAGTCCACCATATGCCGCGACCTTTAGGGTAGAGATCTCCTTCCGGTCAATTCCGTTGCGCGCAGCGTCTGCGTTCATCATGTACTCGAAGGCGGTGAACCAACAGCCGTAAGCTTGTGCTTCGCGCATGAATGTGACAGCTGTGCCACGGTAAACACCGCCAAGGATGCCTTGGTGTGCTGAGAGTTTGCGTACGCAGTCGATCGGGCCGGCGTAAAGACGGTTTGCGCCGTGGGGTTGTGTTTGCAGTCTTATACGGATGTGCTCAATGGGGCTGGATAGAACGGTATTGGCGATACCGGCGAATGCACCGGCGGCATAGTACTGTGAGTATGATAATTGGCCCTTTCCGGTCTTGGCTTCATTGCTGGCTTCGAAGGCACGTCGTGCATAGTGGAAGCCACCGAATTGAATAGATACACAAGCTCCGATTCCGATGAGTGGTGTCAGGGTTCCCTTGTAGAAGGCGAGGGCTCCTTCATTTTGGTAGATCTTGGTTGCTGCGTCCAGGGCGCCGGAGTATTGCGATGTTGTTTGTAATCTGACCTTAACAATGTCTGCAGAGGTAAAGGTACCAAGTCAGTAAATGTCTCACACGCAGTTCGTACGTGGGGAATTTCACCAAAGGGTTGTCCTATCAAGACTTGCGCGACGCCTCCCACTGCACCTGCGAAGAGGTCTTTGAGTGTTCGAGAAAGACCATCCTGAACTGGAAGCTCTTCCTCGATATGAGGTTTCGACATTTTGCTCCTGCTCTTTCTCTGTTGCCAATTTCTCTTCTTGCTTGTTGCTCTCTTATCTCCACCAATACGGACCCTTTGGAGGGGTAATTACGACGTCACCGACCTTGAACACGCTTTGTGCGCTCCTTGCCTGGGCATCGACAGGCGCAGAATGTCCCTGTAGCTTTTTGTTGGTACTAACACTCCGATGCTATTGCGAGGGTTTTCGAAGGTATCCAAGGGCTTTACAGGCCAATGGCGTGCTCGTGCACAGACGCGCTAGCGATGCCTTGGATAGCCGACGGGATGGTTAGCCTCAAAGCGGTCATCGTTCGCACTACATCCTGTAAGTACATATCGCGAGTACTGCTGCATTCAATTATTGGTGAAATATGTTAGAGTCTTCGGCAGAGGTTGCAACATATACCATACGAAAAACTTTCAATCCGTCTGCATTGTGCGCCAGCTGGCGTGTATCCTGATTCAAAACTTGAAGTGAATTCTTTACAGTATGAAATCGACAGTGATGCAAGGAAACATACAGACGCAAGATGTGAGACGGTGTAGAAAACAAACAAGACTCAGACAGCCGCCCGGTATATCCCATGATTTCCCCATTCCCGCTAATCGACATATCCATGCCATGCGTATACAAATGCTTTGCGCCCGTAACATCGACGCATATATACAAGTCAAGGAAATAAACGGGAAGGTAAGGTGTGTAGAAAATAAGCAAGTCGTGCTTCATGTCCCATGCCACATCTCAGCGAGCCCGTGAACGAATGACAAGTCCCTAGGCTATTGGTAAATGCCCAGAGACTCATGTGCAATGCGTAGCAACATTAGGATGCGACTACCAGCACTTGAGCCTCCTCCACCAGCTCTTTTTGGGCTCATCTTCATCGTCCTTCTCATTGTGTAGATATGCCGCTGAAGCATTCGGGTCGCGGTTCGGGTGGGATTGAAGAGGAAGAGCGGCCGTTCGGTTCGCAGGGCCGTCTCCGGCAGTGAGTCTCCGCGCTTCTACTACACGACGTACGAGTACTATCCATCTTGTTAGTCATGTCTCAGCCGTGATCCGTGATGCAAGCCTTACGCGCAAAAGTCTCCTCAATGTTGACCATCTCCCTCGCACTCGTTTCCATGAACCCGCACTTTCTCCGCCTCGCCCACTCGAGACCCGTCTTCGCTTCTACCTGTCTTTGGCCCTGTAAATCGCACTTGTTGCCTACCACGCACTTGATGGGCGGTATCTTGCCGTTGTCTAACCGGTTCTCCGTCTCCATTTCTATCATCTCCATGAAGTAGTCGAGCGCATCGAGCGAGTTGGCAGATGTGATGTCGTAGACGAGGAGGAAGGCGTCGGATTGCAGGTTCGAGGCGGCCCAGAGACCGCGGTATTCTTCTTGGCCGGCCGTGTCCGTGAGCATGAGGTAGTAGGGGACGCCATCGACAGTTCGGGTTACGGAGTATGAGTCTTCTGGAGAGGGTGTTAGTCGCGTGAGGCTACAGTTTGCGACCTGCTCGCGCGCAAGGGGATGTACCTATTGTAGGGTCGTACTCAGATGTCCATTGACTCCTCACAAGCCGCAGCGTGATCGAACTCTTTCCGCATCCACCGTCACCGCACACCGTAATCGTGATCCTGTTGTTCTCGTCCATTGTGTCCTCCTCTTGCGCTTGATTCTGTGTCTGCGAATGTGGTTCTTGTTACGTGTATGCGCTCCCGTTCCGGCGGTATTCGTGTCGTAACCGGATCCGTTTCGAGTCGTCAACTCTCGTGGGTGCACTTGTCGCAAACCGTCCTTCCGAACCAAGCACTCCTCGTTCCCGTGTCCCACGCAAACGCGATCCTATCAAGTTCCCGCGCAGATATGTATGGTCCTGCAATTCGCGTTCGGAATGTGTCGTCGGAATAGGTCACGACTTTGGCTGAGGTCCGACCAAAAGTAAACCCACGACAATAGAAACAAGAAAAGATATCGCGCGCAGGAGTCGCAAGTTCGCGTTATCGTCTCTGCGGTCCAAACAACCAAGAACCAGGAAATGCAAAAGGACAAAAAGGCAGAGGCAGAAGCAGCGCAGCGCAGGCGTTCCTCTCGTATGTGTAATACCGGAAAGCCAACCAACAAATTAATGAAGCGAACAGTGCCCCCAGCAGAACGGAACGGTCCCTAGTACTATCCAGAGCCGCACAGCGTTAGAAATGAATCAGGCATGAAGCTCAACCCAGCCTAGGACTAAGTGAAAAAAAGAAATGAAGGATGAAGATCGCGTGCCAAAAGCCCAGCCCGTTACCTCTTTTGCGTGCAAGTATCCGGGGACCTTGTCCCCCATCGGCTCTGCTGTGCGCGCAAAGTTTCGGTGCGAGAGAGGGCCACAGACCCTTGTACCCTTGCATCGCGCGCGCCGCTTCTACATGTCATGGCACGCACCAAGGAAAACTCACAGACATCAGAGCCCAGATAAGGCGCTGCCAGAACGCTCAGGCCGCAGGGGATCGAAGGATCCAAAGGATCAAGCCCGGAAGACGGCCCCACTTGTTTGATTGGGAGGCTGGAGCGGACTTGGGGAGGGGGGAACGAGGGAGGCAGACTGCCAGAGCCCAAGCCATGTGGGTAACAACGTGCGGTGGACCAAAGTTTATTTGCCATGTTGAACTTTCAGCTTTCGTCATTGGAGCTCATGGCCACGGTTCTCGGTGCCGAGGCACACGAAGTTCTTCTTAGCACCAAGTACCGCTCTCGCGATACCCAACCCAACAACTCCTCACAAGATCTTGGTTAGGCTCAGAAGAGAGCCCAGCGAGTTACTCGGCATGGCCTTTTCCCCAGGCCCCCCAAATCTAGATGTTATCCATGGAACGTAATCTGCCATGTGTCCAAGAGCCTTGGAACTAAACCCAGTGACGCCGGGGCTAACTGTCCGGGAACCTGCATGCTACCCAGCTTCCTTCCTGCCAACCACAAACCCCCTGTTCGGTTGTGTTCAGCTTCCTGCTTCCGTGGAACACATGCAGCGTTCTAGCGCCACATCACGCGCATTCTAGGGCTACATCCAACACACCCTCCCTGGCCTTGTCAATGTCTTCCACGCGCCTGTCGCAGGTTGTCAGACTCCAAGCAAGCACAAGGCCGACGTCAGCGCTGTGACACTGTCGTAAGTTGGACATCAAATGCCTGTTCGTCTTATCGCACTTCGCTCTCACTGCCAAGCCGCGCAGTTGCGGTGCGCCTCGTACTGACAAACAGCCGTGCTAGCATACTACATGCTAGGCATAACATAAGGGCCTTGTTATCCCAGTTAGCGGTTGATATCATGATCCGATCTGTTGCATGACAAGTGAGGCCACTCGACGCCACGATTGCGGCGTAGTTCGCGTCGCGTCACTTCGCTTCCATTCGAATCGTAGGCGAACGAGCAAACAAGCGAACCGACGGATGTGCGGGCGGGGGAGAGATGCAAAAGAATTAATGGGTCAAGGGTGACGTTGGGGTTCGCTATGACGCTCCAGCCAGGTCAACGCGGTCGTGATCCACTATTCACTTTGATATGATCTGGTCTGGTGTGACATATATGATTGATTGATTGATGAGTAATACTGTCCGTACGCGTGCGCCCCACGCGATCCTGATAAGCCAGCCCATACCTTTGCCAAACGTCGTCGATATATACAACAGAAGAAAAAGACACCTGACAAAGTGTGCCCAAGACATGTACATGCATATTGCGCCTCATCTCTCAGCCTCCAATTTGTGAAACCCGCGGTCAAAAAGCTCGACCACACGCCAAAACCTCCCCATGTTGTTGACCCAAGTCGTAAAACATCAAACGGTGATAGAAACAAGAAAGGATGTGAGTCTAAAAACTCCCCCATGAGAAGGCTCGCTTCGAGCAAGCGAATGTGAAGTTCGTTAAAGTGAATATAAGTAATGGGGTATCGTTTGACCAAAGCATAGAATGACACGAAACAGGAGAGAGACACCGCGAAGAAGAAGTAGAGAAGGTGATGTTCAGATCTGCCGTGCTCATGATTCCGGCTCCGTCACTTCATCAATCGACGGTGGGGGAATGAAGCCTTGTGAAGCAGCGACTTCTGTACGTGGCGCCTTCGCAGCATGCGACTCGCTGATGCTACCTTGTTGCGGCGAACGTTTAGTAGAAGTAGCCATGGGCGAAGGGAGGTTAGACTGTGGTCCGCTCTCCGTCTTCGTATGAGGAAGGATGGTCTGATGACTTGAGTGGCTTGTTGGAAAGTGGCGTGGCGAAGCGCTCTTTTTGCTCTTGTCACTGGCCGCAGATGAAGTTCTAGGTGACACTCGTCCTTGCTGTGAGTACCCGTGTTAGTTTGATCTTGAGGACTGGATGTGAGAAGATCGACTTACCTGTTTAGCCCACCGCAGTCCGCACGAGTTGCACAAGTCGCGGTTTCCCGATGGACCTCTCCGCCATTCGGGTGTTGTTCTTGTATGGCAATTCGCGCAGTCCTTCTGCATCTGGCCTGCGCCCTTTCTGCGCTTCCTCTTCTTTTTGGCTGCCAATAAGCTCTGCACCTCTTCTGCAAGATATCGGTTTCGTTTTTCCATTTGTCGGAGCTCGTATTGCCAGCTTGTGCTTCGCGTCGTTTTCAGTTCGTCGAATACGTTATCGTCTGAGGCAAGACTTTGATCCTGGTGTCCGAGCTGTAGGCCGTTGTGTCCGGCGAATGTGGCCGGTGATTCCTCGGTAGTGACGAACAGAGGATTTGTGTGTGATGTATTTGGCGTATTTGACCCGGTGTGACCGGCCAAGGATCCTGCAGCGGGTGATGCTGCTCCTGACATCTGCGTGTGGACAGAGGTGTGAGAGTCGCGCTCATGCTTGGTGTTCGTGTACATTGATGGGCGGCCAGCATTGCTGTTTCGCGAATACTTGAGGAGTCTTGTTTGACCAACGACAAAAGTGGGTTTCTGGCCCTCGATTGCGTCTCCAGGGTATATGGTTGTGAAAGCCTGGAGGACCTGGCCCCGCTTGTTGATCATCTCGTGCTTGACTTCACCTTTCCTGCCACCTCTGGCAAGCTCTAGGATACGGCCAAACTGGATCTTGGACTCTTGACGCATGAGAGATTGTATGCTTGTGCCAACAAGCTCCTCGGGTTGCTTGTCGAGCAACTGGCGCACGTTGGACGAGACGTACAAGAACATGCCTGAGGTAGACATCTTGGTCCATAGTTCATTGTC